TAAAAACCATCCTGTCATGCATATTTTTTATACAAAATATTTTCGATGGTTCACATCTGCCAGGCGTCCCGCGACGGCTTTAATTGTTTTTTTTTTTAATATTTTTAATAATGTATATTATCTATGAGATCTACATATCTATCTAATATATTATATGAGATATAATATATTTTAAGATAATAAACTTTTTGAATGAAAAACAATATTGTGGGTAAAAAAGGGTAAAAAGAAAAATTTAAATTGACAAATGGATGGCGCGGGCGCATAGCACGCTCGGTACCGTCGCGTCGCGCCGGCCCGGCCACGGCGTACTCATCATAAATCAACTACACAGATTTTATCTCGTTTCTAATCACAGCGATTAAACGACTTAAAAAGTAGTTCAACCCGTATTTTATACATTTATAACAAGTTTTATTATTTGAACTTTACGCTTACCAATAGTAGTGATTTATAAACTTCACAATATTAAATACTAGACACGTAAAATTAATTACTTAGCTTATTTGGTTAATCATTTTAGAGGTTTCAGTAAAATTTTTTGATCAAGTATATTTTATTATTAAGTAAAGATACATATATAAGTTGTCTACATTATTGGGTATCTATTAAATTATATTGACGCGTCCCGCATGGGTTAATTTAATGATCCATCCATACACTCTATCAACGACCAATTAATTAAAATTACCTCTTACATAAACCTATTAACGTCCAACCGCGAGCGCCACCAATAAACTAATCGAAATCATCTCACAAGGCTATAATAAATTAATTGTTTTATTATGTCATAAGGAGATGCGATAAAACCCCTACACCTTATTGTAGAATTGAGACATCCCACTATCTCTTTTATTAAACACATGAAACGTTCGGATAACAGCCGTTAAAACTATCTAAAATCAAAATAGCTGCGTCTTCCATTTTTCTGACCTCAGCTGGAGCCTTATGCTAATGAGACCCAAAAACAAACATTGTTACGAGGCAAATGTGTAACATACTATAAAAATAAATTAAATAATAAAGGGAATCGTTAAAATAGAAGAAATGTTCGTAATTTATCCACGAGTCACCTTTTAGGCATTCCGTGGATGCCTTCACGGCGGGGTCCCGCCCGCTCAGTCGCGATCTCCAACTAAAAGGCGCCACAAAAAGACGTATTCAATAAGCCATTGGCCATTACGGATGTAATCGATGAGGTAAATTAATAATAATAAAATTTAGAGGATATGCTTCGAAATGTTTAAGCTTGTCCACGCTGTAACGCATTTTGTATATAGGCGCCCTCGACGAAATATGCTAATTCTTCTCTTTCTCTTATGTTAAACAGATACGTATTCAATGTGTTACCCTAATATACATATATATATATGCCCAATAAATGTCTTTGAATGTATTTTTACTAAAGTTTATAGTTTTTTGAAGGAGGCCGGTATCCGGCCGGTTCCTATGAGTTTACCTAAATTATGAATAGTTTCATAAAAAATCTGCTGTTTGATTAACAAGAATATTTCGCCACTTTTAACTTTATTACATTTGTGAACTCGACCATGTTTTTATCATATTCGCCTTCATCTATGATACCAACTATTTTATTATGTTTTATAATTTTTGTCTTGTCATATTTTTTTAAAATTAATTTTATATCTAGTTACAAGGAATATTAAACAAAAATATCTACACACCTAAAACGTTGGTATTACAACCAAAAACAAAAAAAAAACATTGAGGTATTTTGATAAAGATGTAATTAAATAAGAAAAATCTATGAAACACAAGGGCATGACATTTTAAAAATATTTTACTTTCGTAAACATTATACGTATTAAGCTGTTATTTTAATGTGTGTTTACTTTGTGGAGGTTACAATGTTAATGACTTTAGACACTATTAATCCTGAACGCGTTTCTCCTAAGTTTCATGGATGGAGTTTTGTTTTTTATAATTTAACTTCATTGTTTAATGAGATTCACATTACTTCATCACAGCATAATATTATTTTAAAGAACAAAGTACAGTATATATTATTAGGTCATTACATAATACATATGAAATTGGTGTTCTATAAGTAAAAAACAAAACGAAAAAAAATTATATATTTAATCATTCAAAATATGTACCATTAGGTATAATCTTTGCACTTTCGCCATTTTATAGGTAGTTCATCGATTCCTTTGCGGTAAAAAATGGGGGAGCGAGAATCAATAAAATTTCTGAAGTCGGTTTTGACTGCCTCATGGGAATTGAATTTCTTTCCTTACAAGAAATTATCCAAATTTCGGAAAAAGTGGTAATCTGTTGGAGCAAGGTCCAGGGAGTATGGTGCAGTAGCTCCTCTAATTAAATCTCCTTAAATTTGAACAAATTATTATAGTTAAATAAAGTGAATTTCAATATTATTTTACAATTTAAAAATAACTAAATTACAAAAAAAAGTCCGAACGAATAAAACATGGGTTTGGACATACATACGCACAGAAAATACTCATAGCCCCTGTTACGCTTGCCTCAGTTGGGAGAAAAGCTTTTCGCATAATTTCTATCTCTTATTTCAATATCGTCTAAGACCTAAGTTAAATAAATAATCCTAATAAAATCAGATCAATTTCTTACAGAACTTTACTTAGCATGTATTAAATTATTTAAATTATAACCAAGGCTTTTTCTAATCAATTTTTCCACGCTTTCCTCTCTCTGGCATAAAATTATCTATGCTCATTTGTTTCGCTATTTTAAACTTAATAATAAATAAGATACATTTTTCTAAAAACAACATTGAGTTTGTTAAAAAAACTGAGTGACATAGTGTATATACATACTATATTAGTACAGATGTCGCATCCCATACAAAGAAATTGGACAGCGCTAATTCGGGCTATTTTTGTTTGCTTGAATAGATAATAGATGTCGTTAATTCGCAAATAGTTAAACTGTCTTATTTTATAAATATATACAAACTAACGTATGGTAAATATTGTAAAATTCATCCCGCATTCGAATAAAAAAGGTTCAGTGATTTTAACATTTTTTTACCTGTGATAAACAATTCATAAATATAAAAGCGCCATCTGTGAATATACACTACAAACCCTTCATCACTCATCTTTTAAAACAATGTTTTTTAAAACAATGATAAACCTTTTTGAGATCTATTTTTTTGTTAATTTAACACAACTTAAATAACAAATCGATACATGTAACGTCATCTATTGACATTTATTTAAACTAATTTTTCTTGTGCGTGATGAGACGCCGTGGTATAACTCGCGTCATCTAAAAAGAACGCTGGAAGAAAGTGGAGAGGGTATGTTTGCGCATGGGTATACTCGCGCACAAAAGTACTAAGCCTTTATTTTTATAGCATTTCGCTTACGGCTTCATATATTAGTTATTGGTAGGGACATTGAAAAATATATTATATAAAATATCATTTAATAGAATTCTATTTATTATTAAAATATGTTTGATTCAGTCCAGAATGTTTAATCTATTTACAAAAAATTAAATTAATACGTTTAATACATTTTTTTTATTATTAACTGCATTATTATTACTCTCTCTTTGTAAAACAACATGCGACAAAAACAATTTTTCTCTTTTCTACATATAAAACCATTTTATAATTAAACTTTTGTGTGCGCGATGGTATTTCAAACTGACGAACCAATAGCGCGCCAGCAAGCATGTGGCGCGTGCCCCGCCGCCCCGCTTCTTACCACCAATTTGACCGATAAATCGCTTCTGCGCAGCTTGACAGCCAGCATTCTTTTTAGATGACGCGAGTTATGTATAGTATCTCTTTATTGACTATCGATCACTCAAGCTCCAATACAATTTCAATAATTAACTTATAACTCATCTTATAAAAATAAATAATTACATATTATCTTTGTATTCAAAAAGTTACTTCGAATTCAAAATCATTTTAAAAGAAATCATTCATCTTTAGCGGTTGTGATTTTTATCAACTATTGGGGTTCGAATCAAGAAATCGTGTAACATACATAATACATGTTCTTAAAAACTTTAGTCTTCCATTCGTCAAAACGCTCAAAAATAGGATTTAAAGAAAATTTTGGCTTTTTGTCTTTTGTCATCAGAAGATTTCTCTGCATCAATGTCTAAAGACTGCTACATTTAAATCCATAGATTTTTATTAATAATGTTATAAAATCGAAATAATGAAAAAAATACAACAACTATATCCACTCTGTGAAATGATAAAATATAAAAGTTTATAAATAAAACGCAAATGTACTGTTCTTTAATTTTATTGGTAAATTCACATTCAAATTATAGACCACGATGTTGACAGATGTTACAATTACGATATTCTACGACAAAATTTAGTATATTACTATGATACTGTATCGGTAATCTCGATCATATCTACAGCATTAAATAGCTACATCGACGATAGGGTGCGTAAATGCTTCAAAATTTTATATCGGGAGTGGTGAATCAGCGACGAGACAGTCGGAAAATAGAAAAATCGAAATACATAGTTATACATTCGAACAAATTCACGATACAGATTGAACATCAAAAATATTTCTATATTAATAATCAACTACTCACATCGTTATCGAGAAATGATAGACGCGTGCGAAGCCACGACCAATACGACACTCCCAACGCGATGCAGATGAAATGTGACAATTTACTTAGTGTAAGTATTGATCGCGACTGCTTTGCGTATGTACGGCGAATGTGCCTCATGAAATTTATATTAATGATTTAAAAGACGCGTTCGCGAGCCGCGCACCTGAGATTCAGCGCTCGCGTCGCGTCACACGGTCGCACCGCACTATCTAACATACATACATATATATGCCCTATCAAGAGCAAAATTGCAGTGTGACATAATGTGGCACAATAGGTACGGCGTTTAGAACAGAGCCGTGTATGGGGTACGATAATAATTTTGAGTTGTGACGTTATGCAGCGGCTCTGTCTAAGTGCCGCAGGGCGGGGGTGAGCGGTGCGAGCGTATGCGTTTAGGAGTCCCACCAGTCGGGGCCTCCGCCACTGTTGCCGCCGCCGCCTCCGCCGTACGACCCGCCGTAGTTGCCGCCATACGACCCACCGCCATACCCGAAACCTACAAACACACAAATCAAATATATGATTAAATTACAAGAAAAATAGATATAAAAATGAACAGCTTCAGACTTCAAATATCAAATATGTAACAGTAATAACAACAGTATAATTTAACTATCAAATCAATCTATTATATTTTATATTATTTATTTATATTTTATAGTATATGTTACCAAAAATGTAAATATAATTGATGTTCGCTTAGTTACCCCATTCATTGTCCCCTTCAATAGGATTTAACATTTGCGTCAGCTAACAATATTAATTGCTTAAGAAAGTATCATAATTTTAATAAATTTTATTAAAAGTATTAATTAAACTTGGGGCTTAGACAATATAATTCTACAATCTTTGAAGAAAAAAATATTAAAAATAGTATTGCAATGACAAATCAAATTGTTATTTCCTAGAATCGTAAACTCACTCCCACATTAAGATTTTTATTCCTCAACGATTGTAGACCAACATCTTAGACAAAACCGTCTCTCCCGTGACCATGATTGCTGTCAAGCATTCAAAACGCCGGGAACCAAAAACCAATATAAATCCGTAAAAAAATCGGAAGAGATAGTTTTATTTAAAATGTCAAATATTTGCGTAAATATAAAAAAATATTATGACTGATATTTTGTCTAAAGCCCTTTTATTCATAAAACCAAAAAAACTATATATACCAGAGCCTGCAACAGAAGGGCCGGCGGAGCGCGGCGCCTGTCTCGGCTGCGTACGGAAGTCCCTCGCGCCGAAGGCCGTGCTGTTGCCGAAGCGGCCGCCGCCCGAGCGGCTGCCCGCGCGCCGCCCACCACCGCCCGACCGACCGTCCACCGCTGCACTTGTTAACCAGCTGCGGAGGAAATTATAACATGCATTAAAATATATGTGGATACTGCCTTATTTATAACTACATTATGTTTTAATTTTTCTGAGTGGAACCCTAATTCTTTTTCTAAAATAAAAGTAGCCTATGTTACTCCCTATAACATCAGCTATCTTCCAGTGAAAGTCCCGTCAAAATCAGTCCAGCCATTTCAAACATTATCCAGAACAAACAGACAGACAAAAATTTTAAAAATTGTGCTTTTCTTATAAGTATACATATGGTATAAAATTTGACATTACAAACAGACACTTCAATTTTATTTATCTGTATAGACTAGCGACTTATTTCGGGTTCATCCCTATGTAAGAGGATTTTCTTCACATAGTCACACAAGTGTTAATTTTTTTGCACAGAACCCTAATTCTTTTTTAAACTTTACAACAGGCTGTGATATAATTAAAGACGTGTATAAAAAGTAAAAAGCAGTTGCTTTCGTGTGAAGCCAATGGTAGATGGAAAATCACGTTGTTATATCATAAAAAGCCATTGTCATTGCAACTGAACCTACAACTACAAAGTAAAATTTCAACTCTATATATATAGATAATAGAAAGTGATAAGAGAAAGTAGTTTTAATTCAGCTTGTAAGATGTGATCCATACAAACATACCAACTAACAAACATTGCAAGTAGAATAAAAGCTTATAATTATATAAAAAAAACCATGACAGAAACCATAAAAAAACAGTATCAAAATAACCTTGCACTCACTTGGGCACATCCTGCTTAGCCTCAATAAGTAGTTCGACCAGTTCACGCGCCAGACTACGGTTGGAGTCGTTGAAGAAGGACGTGGCCACACCGAGGTTCCCCATACGGCCGGTACGACCGATACGATGCACGTATTCCTCTACATCCGACGGTAGGTCGAAGTTGATCACGTGACGCACGTGAGGTATGTCCAAACCTAAACATACATATGTGTATTAGTGATTTCTTTTATTTATGTTCATCTATAGTCTATACTAAATATTATAAAAATGCAAAGTTTGTTTGTTTCAACGCGCTAATCTCAGGAAATACTAATCTGATTTGATAAATTCTTTTTCCATTAGATAGCCCATTTATCGAGGAAGCTATATATATCATTTTGCTACTACCCAAGGGAGCGGAGCAGTACCCATAAATATCAACAAATCGGACAGACTTCCCTACATTATTATATTCCTTATACATATTACTAATAGCATAAAGCTAGTTTTTTTATAGTTTTAGCGCGAGCGAAGTCGCGAGGTCTGCTAGTGTTACATGTGAAAATACTTGTAATTTACTTTTATATTTAAAATTTTTATAAAAAGAAATCTGTTTTATAGTTACTTTACATGATTACTTTTTTATTTTACAATGATTAGAGATAATTTTTCACTATAACTGAGGCAACAAAGAAATTGCACTTGAAAGATTTATATCAAATTGATTAGTTGACTATCGAATTGATAACGTAATTTAATCAATTTTCCAAGTACGCAATTACTTCGAAAGTCGATTAAATCACGCATATATAAATAAACAAAACAAAGTTACCTACCTATGATCCATGAATAAATGGAAGCATTATAATATGATTAGTAAATGTATTCTATGTGCTTTATGAATACCCTAAAACAATACAGATTTAATTGAATTAATGTTACAAAACATTATAACAAATACTCAGTTACTATATGTATATGTTATCAATGTGTATTCATAAACCATATAATTGTGATATGTGGCTACTCTATTAATTAATTAACGTAAAAAAATGGATAACTACAGTGAAATGAATGAGACTTTTAATATAAATTAGTAATAAATATGGAATAAATATATATATATACAAACGCTATGGATGTCAATGGCGTAAATAATAAGCACTCTCATAGAAAGTTATGGTCGGATTGTATTTGTGTGGCACTATAATATTCAATCTAAGTCATATAGCTTATATTATTAAACCTTACCAGTTCAATTTATTTCACTGTATCACACAGGATGGAGAAGATCTGACTCGAGTCGTTTACTCTTTGCCATCCGCGTTACTAGATACTCTCAATTACTACTCGTAAAATGAAATAATAAATATATACACCTACATCTAAATCTCCTGACATATGTATATAATAGTAAAATGACCTCTAGCAGCGACAGCAGTGGCGACGAGTATAGGAGTTTGTCCGGTTCTGAAGCGGCGGAGGGCCTCCTCGCGCTCGCGCTGAGAACGGTCGCCGTGGATAGACGTCACTGGGTACCCTTCAGCGTCCAGGAACTCCTCCAACTGATCTGCCCCTATAACAAACGCAAGAAACTTTCTTAGATTTACGCAAAATTTTGAATAAATTTGTGGATAGGTTCTGGCTGTATCAACTATATAACAACCTTTGAGACATTTTAAACCTAAGTCTCTCCCGTGATCATGATTTCTGTAAAGCATTCCAAATGCCGAGAATCTAAAATAAAAATAAATCCGCAAAAAAATCCAAAAATATAGTTTTAGTTAAAATGAAAGAAACTCTATTACATTAATTATAACATAAATAACTTTGGTCATGTTTACGAGACAACTATTATAAATTTGAAAATTTGCATGTGTTAGTTTTACTCCTTCATGTTAAAACAGCTGGACTGATTTGGATAAAATTTAGTATACAGATAGTTCTGAAGAACTCAAATGACACATAGGCTACTTACTGTTTAATACCAAGTATGGATGCATTTTTTTATTAAATATTTCTTTTAATTTTTTGGATGAGTTTTTTACCTTTCTTAGTTTCAACGAAGACGAGGGTTAGCTGGTCTTCTTCTGCTCGAGAGTTTGCTCGTTGCAGTAAATTAGAAGCGTTTAATAAATCCAACAGGAAGGATCGCTTATCTGGCTCCTCTACCCATACCACCTATAGACAAATAAACATTAGTTTACATATTCTTAACTGTTATATTCTAAATATTACTAATGATGTTGATGATGTTCTACTGACCGATTTCGGCCACGGCGGCCAATCACATTGAGACTAGCCAACGGCGCAGGAGTTATTATAGTGCACAAGTGTACGCGCAGACACAACGTGCACTCTCTATATCACTCATACTCCGGTGGGACGACTACTCGACACGACCAGTGAGAGTTAAAGCGCAGGACCGACGGCTTTACGTGCTCTCCGAGGCACGGGGGTGAAATTCCACCAACTTCACAACTCCGGGCTGTTACTGAGGCTTACTATACAGAACAACTCGATAACTAAACTTGGCCCGACCCGGGACTCGAACCCAGGAGCCTTCCGGGTGTGCAGCCGTACATGCTAGCCACTACACCACCAAGGCAGTTAATTAAAATGTAAATACTAATATCAAAGACTTAAATAATTCAAAGTATACGCTTTTAATAACAATTTTTACCTACAAGAATAAAAACAAACCTTTTGTGTAATATTCTCTGAAGTGGATCCAACACGTCCTACAGCAAGGAACACATAATTATGCAAGAAATCTTGCGCTAGCACTTGTATCTGCTTGGGGAAGGTGGCGGAGAACATGAGAGTTTGACGTTCGCCTGTCTTGGGCATCGAGTTGCCCACTACAATCTTGCGGATCTGTGGTTCGAAACCCATGTCCAACATACGATCTGCCTCGTCCAAAACAAGATGGCGGCAGTGGTCAAGGGCGACACGGCCGCGGATCAGCATGTCGACTAGACGGCCGGGAGTGGCCACGAGCAGGTGGCACCCGCGCTCGAGCTCGCGGAACTGGTCTAGGATTGGGGAGCCGCCGTATCTGTATATTGAATATAAAAAACATAGAAGAATGCCAAGAACAAAAAAGCACAAATTTTGTAGATAATTAAATATAAATATAGGGACCAAAAAACATTATTTTATGAATTAATTAATGTATTTTTTCAACCATTTCAGAAAGACAAGTTGTAGCGGCTGATCAAATTGAATATAAATTTTGATTGAATATAATTTTTAACAGGATTAACACACAAGTTAGTTTATATCATCATACTTTCTACGCGAGCAAAGACATGAGAAAATCTATATGGAATTCAAAAACTATGATTGGTGTCTCACGATGGAGATTTATAGGTACAACTAAAATGACTACATCAGGTTCAATTACATACTGTGTAAAATTTAAAAGGAAAAAAGTAAATTACTAAAATAATTTGGCAAGATGGCAATAACACTTACACGACGCAGGGTCTGACACGGGAACGGTATGCAAATTTCCTGGCCTCGTCATATATCTGTGTGGCGAGCTCGCGCGTCGGCGCCAGCACGAGACCCAGGGGATACTGTTTGCGTTTAAGAGGTCTGAAAAAAAAAATTATTTAAGCTGTTTAGTTATTTCGGCAATGGAATTATTTAAGTAAATTTGAACTAAGAGTGTAAAAATAAAAATAAAACATCTTTCAAAATGTTTCACTTGGTTAATTCTAAGTATATAATATTAAAAATAAGTGTTATTGGTTTTCCTTCCTTTCCTACACTGAAACAAATTTGTATAATAATACATGGGCATTAGAGTCCCACGGTCTACTTTTGATTCCAGCCCAACCACATACCCACAGGATATAAGGGATATCTCACATAACCATCTATATGTCTACAGGTGGTATGCGTAAATGCATTTCCCAATATTAAAAAAAAACAAAGAGCGACCAGGTTTTTAACTAACATCAAACAAAATAAAAAAACATGTATTATCCTAGAAGATACACAGTACACACCCCACAAGTTTAACGGGCCCCGCTTCATACATCTGGTTGAGAATGGGCACGAGGAAGGCGGCGGTCTTGCCGGAGCCGGTCTGCGCGCACGCCATCACGTCTCTCCTGCCCAGCACTATCGGTATCGCGTACTTCTGCACCGGCGTGGGCTTGTCGTAACGTGCGAGCGCTATGTTCGAGCGCATTATTTCCGTCAGGTTAACATCCTCAAACTGTACACATAGTATGTTCAAACTGTTAATAAATTTCGCAATTTGTATAACATTAACACATACATTGTAAGTAAATAGGTACGAATATAAAAAAAGCAAGTTAATATAACATATTAACAGAAATTAATACAAAAGAGGACAGAAGAACATTGTATGAGTATGAGAAATGCAGCCACTAGAGAAGCAGTTGCATATACATATTTTCAAGTGGGTCACAACACTTTTAGTCTGTGAGGACTAAGAACGACAATTCTACACATTAAGTGTATATAAATAAATAAGTAAAATAAATGTAATATTCTATTCCTAAAATATTTCTATATTAAAACCAATATGTGTATAGCGAAATAAAAATAATTTATGTATGACAAATTGTTTAGTTCCACAAACAAATAACTTACGCTTGTAATGAAGTCCGGAACATTGTCGCCGCTGGCCTCAACCGGTATATCCTCGTATTTGGAGAAGTTGATGCCTGTGTTTCCAGTGCCAAACAGGTCCAACTCCTGCCGCTCGTCGCGAGGTAGCGGGACCGTCCAGTCGTTCTATAAAAGTCAGATAACCAATGTATTAGATTCATCATATAATATATTTGCTTTGGGTTTTTCTCTCGTTTGGACTATTACGAAATTTTTGCATATTACAAAGAGTTTAAATATCATATTGATCTCCTTTCATCCATCCTTCAAACTTAAATCTATTGTGAAATCTGCTATTTAGGTAAAGGCCAAAGAATATGTGTGCAAACTGATAAAGAACGAGAAGAATTATTTTAATGAGGTAATTAATAGGCTTTAATTAATAAATTAAGTTACATACATATAGGTTACCATATCAAGACATAATTTACCGCGAAATATTAGTCCACTTATTAACTTAATAATAATAAATGATAATTTAAACAATGTTTATAAAAAATCTATTATTTATTCATAGCTCAATGCATAACTGGCGTTTAGGATATTAACAAAAAATCGTACAAAGTCAAACACGGAAGAACAAATCCATAAAAAAGAGTATTATTTAAATCTAAAAATGTACTGACAATAGTTTTATTAAAAACTTACGTTACGTTTTAACGTTTACTATAGATTTCTCAGAGATGAGATTTTTTCCCGCAGTAAAAAGTATCCTATATGTCGACCTGGATGACCAGATATCATCATACCATATTTCATCATAATCCCTCCAGCGGTTTTTCCGTGATGCAGTAACAGACAGACAGACGAAAATTCTAAAACCTATAGACTCGGCCTCTGTATCGATAATAAAATATCTATTTCAATAAGATTTTTCAAATAATATTTAATGTACAGATTCGGCTCACCTACAATTTTATTATATATATATATATATATATATAATATATATATATATATATATATATATATATATATATATATAGATGTTGACATATTCACAAGTCAAATGAATCAAAGAAAAATAAAGGACCACCACCGACCTCATCCCTGCGAGACGAAGTGCGCCGCACGTCGTCGGAGGGCCAGCGCGAGTTGGTGCGCTCCTCGGGGCGCGGCTCCGGCTCCTTCCAGCGGTCGTTGCGCGGCTGCGGCGGCTCGTCCTCCTCGCGCTGGAGGCGTATGTCGCGCGAGGGCGCGGTGGCCCGCCCTCCGCCTCCTCCGCTCCCTCCCCACCGGTCCGACTCTGACCACCGCTCTGAGTCGCCATTTTGATATCCGGAATCACGACCTATATACAGATAATATTTATTTATATTCAGCTCTGTGTCCCATTACTGGGCACGAGCCTCCCTTTAATATAGGGATACATAAAGTGATCAGGCTAAAATTTGATAAGTTCTCTCAAACATGCAGGTTTCCTCACGATGTTTTTTTTCGGCGTAAAGGAACTGGTGATCATGTTGAAAAATCATTCGCACATGAAAATATCAGAGGCGCGAGAGACGGGATATGAATTCGCATCACTTGTTTCGCAAAGCAAACGCTACTTTACGTTACTACTGAACTGCCTTTGTATTGAATATTTGTTTATTAACAACTTTCTGTGTATTAAATTTCATAGACCAAATCTGTCCAGCCATTTCAGCGTGAACGAGTAACAAACATACACACACTTACAAAGTTCCGCATTTACCATAGTAGTTGATTGTTTTTGATTTTAATTAAAAAGTTTGTATAATCTGAAGTCTTAAGTACTAAAATAAAATTAATTCAGCCGTATTTGATTATTTCACTATATGTTTTATACAATATATTCAATAAGTACTCACTTATAACCGAAATTTAAACAAAGGAAATGAGTGACAAATTCTAACTATGAGTCTATTATTTTAACTAACCATACTGCGACTTATATATTGAAACGTAATTTGGTAATAATAAGATCGAAATTAGGACTGAAATACAAAAATAAATATGCCGAAGAAGATAACATAGGTACATTGAGATGTCAACAAATCGTGCCAATTAGCAAGTTATTATCGTAAAATGATGTGAAGAAAGACAAAAACTAAAACACACTTTATAAGTATTTTTTTATTACTATCTCAGTATTAAACAGTAATCTATATATAAAAATGAATCCCATTTCCCTTGGTCACGCCATCACGCGTGAACGGCTGGACCGATTTAACTAATTTTTTTTGTTGTGTTTGTCAGAACGTTCTTATGAAAGAAAAAATTGAAAAATTAACGGAAAAAAAATTATAATGTATCCGGCTAACGCTGGCTAATAACTATTTATATCTATTTAAAATTATTGTATATTAACTAATTTGATTATCTGGTGGTTTCGAGCGTTGATCTATAATATGGTATTATTATATTACATAATATGTATAGTACAGCACCTCCAGGTAAATTTATAAGAAATTAATGAAATTTCGAAGAAATCTATTGTTAACTGTAACGCCGGCGTCTCCGCGGTCGTGGATGGATTATTGTTTAATCCGAGTCGAGCATCGATTTAGTGGAATAGGACTTGTGTAGGAATTACGTCGAAGTTTGTGGAAATTGTAAAAGTTAATATAAAACTATAAAATGATTATTTTCGCTTGAAAAAACAAAGCGATTTGTTGGGTACCGTTACCCGAATATGGTATTTCAATGGTAGGTTGCGATATAAGATGAATGAAAATATATTGTGAAGTAGGAAAAATATTGTACCTATTAAACAATGCATCGGTACATAAGGTAGGGCTACGTGGCGAAACATTGTTGCGAATTGTAAACAACAACGTGTGAAGAATAATAATATGCTACGGTGCTATATTTGACGAGATTCTATATTATTTTTAAACATTAACAAAAAAATAAAAACCGACTTCAAACAAAAGCACTAAAAAGTAAAAAATTACTGATTGGTAGTTTTCATTTACTATACATACCTAATCAAATATTTTCGAAGTCGGTGTGCTTTGCTTTGTATGGGCTGGCACCTTTTTTACTTTTTAGTGCTTTTGTTTGAAGTCGGTTTTTATTTTTTTGTTAAAAAGTTTTTATTTTTCCCTTTTTAGTACAGACAGTAGTAGCAAAGTAAGGATTCTAACGTGTTAGGCTTGTCAAATCAAACAAAATAAGCCCAAACTCAAAGTATCTACTATTAGCCGTTGAAGAGTTCCACCTATCCACCTTCTGGCCTTGCCATCAGATCAGGTCAACAACACCGAACCACTGTACTATCAACGGAAATAGAAATACTTGCAAAGTTTCAAGTCAATATGACAATTAGAAGTAGGTTAAATTCATCATTAGTTGTTTTTCCACCCTTAGGGGTGGTTTTTTTTTTTAAAATTTAAATGGGCCGATCTGGAAGTATACCCTTTCAAACAAAACAAAAATTGTCCAAATCGGTTAATAAATGACGGAGTTCTGAGGTAACAAACATAAAAAAAAAACATACAGTGGAATTGAGAACCTCCTCCTTTTTGAAGTCGGTTGAAAAACAAAGTAATTTTCGACTAATATAAAGAAAACTAAAACATAAAACAAATCCAGAAGAGACTGCAATTAGAACATTCATATTAATAAAAAGGGTTTAGAAACAGCTTTACAATATTTATGAGATTTTATAAGGTATAAACTTTCATATGACCTTCAATAAATGTTGCACAGGCGAAAATGTCTACTAACATACTGCGGACTGCCATTTCATTCTATTTGAACTTCAATAAATAATTAAATACAGAATTCTAGAATATCTACTAATCTTTAGTTAATTACAATTGTAAATGTAATCAAACACTAAAGTCCCTAATCTAGTAAAGATGCATGAAGTACACGGATCTAAAATTTCATTTTATTAGTGGAAAACTTAAAAGATATACTAACCGCAATCAGAACTACATTTAACCTGAACCTCAATAATTAAATACAGAATTCTAGAACATTTATCTAGCTAGCTATAAGTAGTTATTTAATTACAAGTGTAAATGTAATCAAACACTAAAGTCCCTAATCTAGTAAATGTACATAATTACGATGCATGAAGTACACGGATCTAAAATTTCACTTTATTAGTAGAAAAGTTATAGGATATACTAGGCGCAATCTGAGCAACATTCAATCTGAACCTCAATTTATAATTAAATATAGAGTTCTAAATGATCTAGCAATCGTTATTTAATTACATTACTATTGTAAACGTAACCAAAGACCGACTCCCTACTATAGTAACTGTAGATAACTACGATGCATAAAGTACACGGGTCTAAAATTTCTCTTTGTTAGTAGAAAAGTTAGAGGATATACTCACCGCGGTCTCTGCGCGGGTATCGCGAGTCGTAGCCGCGATCGTATTCACGGTCGCGGTCACGGTCGCGGTCGTCGCGCCGACCACCACGGTCGTAGTTTCTAGAGTTGCCTCCGAATGATGAACGGTTGTCCCGTGTGTCGTTAGGACGAGAATCTAAGCTGGATCGCTTAGGTTCTTCTCCTGGACAATATACATTTACACTCATAATGATTGTAGAAGTAATTATTGTAGTGAAATTACCTGGTTTCAATTATGACAGCATCGTAAAGATATAGTCCCAATGCATAAAGTCAGGAAAATAGGTGTATGTTGTACAAATTAATACAAAGCTATAACAAAATTTCACTTTGGCTTAGCAAATAGGATTACAGAAAGATATGTAAATCAAAATAATATAATTATTATAATGACAATTTACTTCACATCATATCCATTGTGAGTTGTGTATCTTCAATAGAAGTCAACAAACAAAATTACAATCAATTCGGTCTTGCATTATCCAAACTTAGACCAGAGGAAAGGTTTTAAACAATAGTTTTAATGTGTTTAAACAATTCATCAACAAGCAAGCAAACAAATTTTGCACATCAAAGAACAAAATTGTACCTAGAAAAACTTATTAAAAAAGATAATTGCATTATGGCTCAAAAACAATTAAATATAACAAAATTATACATATTTTATTGTTTCTATACCAATATACATACCAATAGAATATGATACTTTCGAGGATTGGCCCTGATATTCTATATTTTTATCCATTGAAAAAGAAAAAAATTAAATATTTTCTTACCTTTTGACTCCAACTGCCTACGCAGATGAGGAGGTATGTAGCGGCCAGTACTCTTAGGAGCCTGAGGCTGCAAGTCCAGACCAGCAAGCTATAATTTAAAGATCACTATAAAATACTTCTATCTTTCTTAATAATAGTATGTATCAAATATATCCCAATTCCATTTTAGTATATGGCATGTGGCATCCTACTAACATTATAAATGTGAAAGTTTGTGAGCATGGATGTAGAACGGATGTTTGTTGCTCTTTCACACCAGAACAGCTGAAATGATCTGGATGAAATTGTGCACAGAGAGAGGTAATAATCTGGACTAGCACATAGGTTACTTTTTATCCCAGAAAAATAATGTGGCATAGATTTATTTATGCCTAGGGACAAACCCGAAGTGAAGTGTGAGTGAGTCACTAGTGATAGCATAAACCTGGATCTGGTTAATTTTGATTTATTTACTACTACTCCTTAATTTATATTACAAATAAACAAAATAAAAGTTAAAATTTAGATTTTATTTGAGTATAATCTAGGCATTAAGTCAGTTAAAATATAGAAATATCTAACAATGGGACTGGCTACATAAGATTTAAATTTACTTACCAACAATGTACTTATATTAAAAGATATACTGTCTAAAATAATGATGAAATTATATTAATCACCCAAGGTTACATAGAGTTTAAATTTAAAACCTAACCTAACTCTTATTAAATGTGTCAGTGAACTTTCTATCAGTGCTTCATATGAATCACAATTCTGACTATTTTATGTATGCAATTTGATAATACTTATCATTTTATAACTATAAGGTACCTATAAAATGCTAATTTAAAAATATTTTACAACATTTGCTATTTTACCAAATTACTAAGCATAGTGACAGTAAATGTAATAATTTTATTTTCTTGAATAAATATTAAATTTAAATGTTCTAAATTACACTAATTTGGGCATTAATAGGATTTATTTTAAGTAGATCATATTTTTGGGTCAGAGATATGTAGCTATAACAATACCAACAAATCTATAATGTAATTACTGATTGAGTATATATGTATTGTGATCAAATGTATTTATAATACAATAATTTCTCTTATTATATGTACAATATAAATACTTTTATTATTTTTATATTAATTTAATTGATAAATCATAAATTTAAATAGTTATAAAAGCATCAAAATGTTCTTATAATGAAATAAAATTAAAGAAACTATCGTAATTTGTAAAGGTTTACACCTTAACTATAGGCAAGGAATAAAATAAATACTAAGCAAAAAATATCAATTTTATAGCTAACTCATAAAATCAATCAGATACCTTAGATGAGCCAGGTCGCCATGTTGGTTATAGGTACCAAGACACGTAAAGCTAAACTTTGTAGTTAGTATTTTAACTATGAGTCAACATGAATTACAAAAATTTTTACATTAAAATAATATTAAAACCATTAATACTATAAGTAATTAGATTTTCATATAGTACAGTAAAAATCAATACAAAGTACATGTACATGAGGTACCGACCTGCTGCTCTAGACCTGTTCCATTTTGGTTGGTAACATTACTCATATTACTACCAAGCGGTACGTTTTTTTGGGAACTTTTCTCCAAAAATACTATACAATCACAGTCTACAATGAATTTTGCACAAACACAAATTCACAAAATCACATGAAAAGGTTTCAATTTTTCTTCCCGAAATCACTTTTCATTCGCAGTTTTTGTTCTTCATCTTTACGGATGATGACTTTGTCTTTGATTGTATCGTTCATTCATTCAAATTCATTCAATTTTCTACTAAAGTCCTAACACACGGAGTGAGAAATTCGAGTAATAAAATTAAACCAAAACTAATTTTAGTGTTTATGGTTTTATACTTTATTTCATATTTATTTTATTAATACAATATTTTCTACGTTTAAATTAATATTTTAACTGCAATGATATTTTAGCTATTGGATTGGACATTGTAGAAAGTATCCAAACTCAAATAATACAATATTTTTTACATTGGATTTTATTACATTGGATTTATTACATTGGATTATAGTAGGTAGGGTAGTACTGGTTTTCCTAGTCAGTGAGTACTGGTTTTTCTAGCCAGTGGTATGCGTAAATGTATTTCATAATGTTAGGAAATTTCAAAAGTATAGCTTAGTAGCCAGCACACACCAATGCGGTTATCAATCGAATTTTAAGTCCCTTTCGATTCCGTATCTCAACAAATATTGGTACCATAGATGAATAATTATATTTTCGATTTTCAGTTCTCTGCATAGTGCAGGGCGTAAAACAAGTTTATTCTTATTAAATCTAATCGAATCGAAAATCGATATTCCCCGCAGTTAAGGGAATTCCCTAAAATATAGCAATATTGCTGAATGACGGCAAAGTTGAAAATGCAAATTGCAAAGATCTTTATTATTTATTTTGTAGTGCAGCAATCTAATGTTGAATAAATTAATAAACAAAATTTTTTGTGCTCATCTAAAAATAATGTTGAATTAAAGACGGAATCTATGAAAGAAGTTTATTGAGTTTCAAAAAGTTATATACGCTGTTATTACGTATCTACAAATTAGTATACTTGATTCAAAAAGGTATGTAGGTAATAATTTCGTTATTTCTTTCTATTTCTGTAAATTTATTATTTAGCTCATAACTTATTTTGAGTTCACGAGTTTGATTTAATATGCTGTTTGCATCTCACTGTATCTGTTTTACCCATTAATTCCCAAAGGTAAAAATAAAAGCATATTTATTGGTTTCATTGTTTATTACGTTTATAAATACATCCAAAAAGAGGAAATTATAGTCAAAAAAATATTTATTAATTAGTTTACATTAAAAAAACGATAAAAATTAACCTATGTGCTATTCCAGACTATAATCTATCTCAGTGCCTAATTTCATCCAGTACCGTTCACCTGTTCTGGCGTGATTGTGTAAGTGCATTTATCCAAACTTTCGGATTTATAATATTAATGGGATTAATACCATCGATCTGAACTGGAACTGAAAGATTGATAGTGAAACTCTTCGGTGGCCACTAGTCAAGTCCTAATATAAATATAACAGTCAATCAATAGGATAAAATAAGGGGCTAAGGGCATTTGTAATATATTTCAGCAGAATTTATTAATTTTACTGTCTTGATATAAAGATTTCCAGGTTATATTTGAATTATAGATATTTGTTATAATAATAATTAATTAATAATGATATTTTGATATTTAGATGATATAAAACAAGATATTTGTCATGTTTTTCACTTTGACTTCTTATTTGAGTTCTTGATAATATCACATTGTTACAAGCACCATGGTCATGGGTATAAAGATGATTCATATTGCCTTTTAGAAATCCAGTATCTTACCTTCAGAATAATATATATATAAAAAATGTCTTCAGCACATTCATCAACACAAACACATTCACTTACTTTTTTAAGTCTTTGAGACAAAAATTATATTTTATGGCTAGTTATCATTGTACTAACTTAAGACAGGAAACTAACTTAATAAGGTGTATCTTACTAAAATAATGCTTATTAAAATTTTCTTTTTTGTTATATAAATAACTAAATTTTCTTCAAAACAATTGTAGATTGATTGATGGATCCTTGAATTCTGTATGACTTAAATGCTAAATATGGGCTTCATTTCTTATATTTACCCATAACGAGTAGAGTTTATAATTTCCGGTACCTAACATTTTATTTTCTTTAATGCATATTTATGGAAATCTCCTTCCAAGAAAAAGTATAAATAGTAAATTCCATTAACTTTGGTTTTGTTCCTTTAAAACTAATTACTTATGAATCATCAAAGGCTGTTTATTAATTTCAAGGGATCTTAGGATTGGATATACATAAAAATAAAGACATAAAAAGTATGCTTAAGACTGAGTGTAAAGTATAGATATGTAAGTTGTAACCTAAAGATAACTAATGATGCTGTCAGTAAATGTACCGAATGGATTCAACACAATTCTCTTGTTAATGGCTTCAAAACATACATAACGAAAGGATAAATTAACATATTTATTAGATGGAGCAAACAAAAACATCTACAACACCTAGACTCCGACAAGCACCTCCTGACCCGAGGCCGAGACAACCACCCCCCGAGCCTAAAAGTGGTACTGCTCATCCACCACCTCAACCACGGGAACGTCAGCAACCACCGAAACCTCGGCAGAGACAAGCTCCACCGCCACCAAAGTGTTGATATATAAAGAAATATTTTTTTTAAATATACAAATGCACTTATTAAGGTATGTAAAAGCTGTTGTAAAATTAAAACTTACTAATAATGCCATTATGTATATTGCTATTTATTTAATACATATAATCATTTAATAAAAATACTATGTTTGATAAAATTAAATTCAATTTGGAACAAATAGTCTCGAAGTGTCATTGAAGTAATTTAAACTGTGTCATCTATTATTAATGTTGTATGGAGGGTAGAGGTAAGGAGAACCGTGTTATATGGGGGTCGGGAAGTTGTTGTGAAAAAGTCTCCAGCTGTATGCTGAAAATAGATGGCGCTGGGTACGAATAAAACTGTTAACTTTAGCTGTTGTAGTGAAGTAGTAGTGAAGTGTGCCGAGTTCAAAAATTTAAAATTTTTCATGACTAAAGTAGTTGTTTAAAATCCCAGTATACAAAACAGACACTACTTGCCTATCATAATTTACGTTAGAATAAATTATACACTTTTAACAATAAAGGTAACCTTTTTTTTTTCATAATTTTGACATACATATACAAACTTGGAAATAAGAACAGAATAAATTTAACCAACTACATAGGCACTATTTAATTAAATTAATGAGTGGAATATCATCCTCAACTGCATTAACTCAGCTTGCTGATTGAGTTTTTGAGTTGATTGAGAGAGTTCAGTTTGCTGATCTTGCTGATCGACAAGAGTTGCAAATTAAATATGTTCAATTATATTTATCAAAGATAATTATCAACCTATATTTAATATGATAAATATAATGATAATTATCAATCATAAATTATTATCGTTCATAATGATAATTATCGTTATCTATTTACGCAGTCTAAAATAATATAGTAAATATCAATCACCTTGTTTATTTCTCTTTCTCACTCTTAATTACTTTTGGCGCTTCCTTTAAAATTTATCCTAAACTACCGCAGCGTCACCCTTATTGGATGCGTTTTGACGACATTTTTTCATTCATACGCAGAGACGCCTCCTCCTCTACCCTTCATACAATAGTGTAAATTAATATTGTAATAAGTATAGTAAGTATAATGAACACTTTACTGTCAAAGTATCCATTAATTTAGGTAAATTTTGTACCAAAACAACCAATTAAAAGAAATAATATAATTATGTAAAATTATGCAATACGTACCTGTCTATTTTAATAACCAACTTTGTATTTTTTTATTTTTCATTATAAATTGTTAAGTATCATAATTCATGTTAATACTTTGTATTATGTTGGCGTTTTTTATATAGTTTATATATAAAATTCTTTCATTTTTTATTTAAACCGTTCATCCGATTGCGACAAATCTTTAGGAACAATATTTTAATTGACACCTGGTATTGACTATTGACCTTGCAGTCTAGCAATTAAGAACTATTGTGAATCGAAAAGAGCAACGCCGCAAAGACATGAATCGCTTTTTAGCCGACTTCTTCAAAAAGGAGGAGGTTCTCAATTCGGCTGTGTTTTTTTACTATATTAATATTTTATTAGAACTCCATCATTTATTAACTAGTGTCCGACCGAAGGTCTATTTTTGGCCGAAGCCGAAGCCGAAGCCGATTAATCGGCTATCGCCACAACCTTCGGCCGAAGCCGAAGCCGAAGCCGAAGGTTTATATTCTCTCAGCACTCAGTAATTAATTTTGTATCAATACCTCAAATAACCTCAATATTGAAGGTTTATATTGACTGTCTCATATAGAAGTTGATGATATATCATAGAGATGGTTGGTTTAGAGATAAATAAAAGTTTGTGATTTTGTGATTTACCTACTGGTAAAAAATAATCATTTCTTTATTATGTAATTCACAAATTACAATTAGACCAATCAGTCTTTGTTTTACTCGACTAGACCAAAACTAGACTAATAAATAAAATAAACAAACACTACATATACAATATGAATACGACAATAAATTAAAACTCAAACAGTAAATACCTAGGTACCTACCTAGTTTTTATATAGGTAATTTCAAATTATAAATCCAATTTATTAATTTGGAACTATGAAATGAATTCTAACAACAAATTAAACTTTTTCTAACAAACTATATCCAATAGAAAAAGAAATAATGATGAGAGTATAACATACAAATCCAATACCTATGTTAAACATTAGCTCATCCAAAGCCCTAAACACGGAGGATATCCCGTATGTAAGTACGTAACTATTTAAGTGTAGTAAATATATACATGTAGTAAATACCTACCTACTATACACTAGAAGTTAGAACAGATATTAAGTTCTAAAATAAAAACTCAAAATATTAATGAGAAAAACATAACGTATCCTAATTCATTCATTTACTGAAATATATCATTTATTTCATTTCTAATAGAAATTTTCTATTAACTAATAATAATTACCGTATACAAAGTAGGTACCTATTGGTTTTTTACTAAACAAATACTTACGTTAGTATTGTCCTTTTCACTAGTTCACTTGTAAATGTAATCATTACTAATGTATCACAATTTAATTGATAAACACAAATTCAAAACAAAACACTCGTTTAAATACACGTACGAATTTGTTTTTATGCATGCAATGTGATATTTTGACAGTGACTCCTCGCCGCCTCATGACTTTCGTAACAGTTCGTTCAATCTGGACGGTCGCTCGGACCTTCGGCGAAACCTTCGGCTTCGGCCGGATTTTGGGCCGAAGCCGAATGTTTCGCCGAAGGTGGATTTTTTGGCCGAAGGTGGCCGAAGCCGAAGATTCGGTCGGACACTATTATTAACCGATTTGTATAATTTTTATTTTGTTTGAAAATGCATACTTCCAATTTGGTTCCATTTAAATTTTGAAAAAAATACCACCCTTAAGGGTGTAAAAATAGCTAATGAACATTTTACCTCCTAATGGTCCTATTGACTTGAAACTTTGCGAGTGCTTCTATTTCCGTTGAGAGCAGTGGTTTGATATCGTTGACCTGGTATTATGGTAAGGTGGATAGATCGAACTCTTCAACGGCTAATACTTAATAGTAGATACTTTGAGTTTGGGCTTATTTTATTTGATTTGACAAGCCCATTACGCTAGAATTGAATTTAAGAGCCAGAATTTTAGTGTTACTAATAAAAGCGAATTTTAGGTCAGTCTGAATATAAAAATTGGCAACAAAGTAACTTAAATAGCTTAAGCGAATATTTTATTAAAATATTTTCTTCTTTGCTACTACTATGTCTACACTAAAAGCTTTTTTATAAAATTAAAAAAAACGACTTCAAGAAAAAACAAATATTTTCGAAGTCGGTGCCAGCCGATACACAAAGCACACCTAATTTTTTATTAAAATGTTTTTATGTATGTTTGTATATAATATAATAATAGAGGGTCTTGTGTAGGTTGAGCATGCTCGGACTTGAAAACACGGCAAACTGCATACCTACAGTTTGTGCTGATACAACAGCCATACGAGTATACGTAATTATTATGTATGTATGTATGTGCCTTTCCATATTACATTTCTCTTTAAATTTATTAATTTTTATACAATTTTAAAACAACCGTCGTAAATATTTATTTTTGTACATTGAGTCCATTTCATTGGTAACATATATTTAGAAGTTAAAACAAACATATATCTTAAAAGTGGCAACAGCAGGTTACGTTGATAAATACATTTGCATAACATTAATAATAAGAAGAAAAATTAACGGAACTTTCCTTTATTAGGAACGTTCCTTCGAGGTGGGGTAGAGTTGTCATCTTTTCTATCTACGCCTACAGGGCTATTCTCATGGCCCGTTCTGTTTAATGAGGAGAACTAGGCCATCTAATAATTTTATATTTACTGAAGTCGTCATGCTTTCCATCTAACGCCGATAAACGCTTCCGGCATAGATTGATAATATATAATAATATAATAATAACTATAAATATATAAATAAAAAATAATGATTAAATAAATTTTCTAAGTAAAAATACATGCTTGCACATAGTATCATATTATAGTAGGTAGGTATATTAATATATACCCAACTAATTTTTGTACCTATTCGTATATTTAAAATTACTTTTTCGCGAATTTCTTATTGTGTACCTATGAATTTCGCTTTAGTTTTGTAACAAAATATTTTAAATAAATCATGTAAATGATTATTTAATGGGGTGTAATCACATAAATTGCGCAGACTGCGTGGGCTGAAGTAACGGAAGTATACGCTTGACCTTCATGCATATCCTCGATAGAGCGGGCATATGATTTTTTTGCGCTCATTTTATCCTATTACTTACTACTGTATAGCAGATAGTACCTACTAAAATGTGGCGAAAAGTTATTTTCACAACAATTTGTATAGTGTTATTATTTAGAAATGTATCCGCAACCGTCATTCGAGATATTTTTGAGGAACCCATACAAGAATATGATGTGATTATTAGAAATATAGCATATGAAGATTCTCCTGTAGACAATAACGATTGTGCGGAAGGATATCAGCTAGACATTAACAAAATATGTCGGGAAGTGTGGTAATGAAAAATGTCTGCCTCTATACGTAATAAGACCAGTGCCCAGTGATACTTTTAATGTTCATTTAATGATACCTTCAAAATAATGTGTATAATATACATATGTATTTAGTGTTCATACGTTTATCAGTGCTATTGAATATTGCAAAATAGAAGAAATGTTATATCTCATTATAAGATGGCATTTCAAAAGTTTAGAGTAAAAAAGCTTTTTCATTAATAAGTTTTACATTTATTTTCAATTGGTTTAGTAATAAAATATCAGTTTGCAATTAATATTTAATGGATGTTTTACAATTATTTAGTTGTATTATTTTATTGTGACCGTGGTAAGAGAGGTGCGATAAAGCGCCAAGTATCGAGCTGTTCTAGGATAGGGTTTCCGAATGTGATAGCAGCTTTGACACCGACTGAGGAGATGGCTCCGCGGAATCGATTAACATAATCGACCAGCACTTCTTCAATAATTGCGTTCACAATATGATCGATGTCGCCACCTCCTATCGCTCCACTCAAGTTGGCCTGAAAGTGTACAATTTCTAATAAATAAGTATAAATTAATGTTAATTCTTTCTATTTATTTATCTGTTACTAGTTTTGTTTTAAATTAAAGTATCTGTGCGACTTAAACTTTTACAAGAATTTGAATTGATTGTGAATGTTTTGCTGATAGCTATAGCTACTCTACAATAAGTTAAATACAATAGTGTAAAGTTGTTTCTACAATTGGCTAAAAATAGTTGTCTCTGTTATATTAGGTCCTTACATAATATGAAATTGGCATTGTGTCGAACTGGCCACTTTGATCTCAAATACATATATGGCGTTTGGTTAAGAATTCCATGTTCAAATTTATTTCAAATTTAGGCTTGTGTATTTGTGTTTCGAATTTAGTGATTCATTTGTTTTTGCGCCATTCTATTTTTCTTTGACACCGTTCTGTTCACAATGTGGAAAACCGTGACATCAGCGCTACATAAACAGATCGAAGGATTAATGATGTTTATGGGGAATCTATTGTAAAAGAAAAAACATGACCTTGCTTTAACAGATTATCACTTTTTCCAAAAAATTCAATTTAGATGAGGCTGGCAAAATTGCCTTCACAGATTTTATTGATTCTCGCTCCCACATTTTTTTGTAGCAATGCAATCGATGAACTACCTATAAAATGGCGAAAGTGCATAGATAACAATGGTACATACTTTGATTGATTAAATATATAATTTCATATATTTTTTTTGTTTTGCTTTTTCAATATAAAACTTCATATGTAAGGACCTAATATTTTAGTAAATAAGTTATTTAGGTACTTTAATTAACTATTATATTGATAAATATAATTATTACTTTCGGGTACCGAACCATGTCTACGATTACTAACCTTGACTAAAGGAAGATCAAAATCAACTCTTTCAATTCTATCAATTATTACAGCTTTTTCATTTTCGGATTGTTTAAGGTATAATTTAGCCTTTAATCTGAAATCTTCGACCGTGAATCTAAAAAAAACATAATCGGATTATTGTAAATGAAAAACTTTTAAATTAATCTAAATATAATATTTTTTTACTCACTCAGCTCTACCACTTCCATAAATTGGTAGTGCGGTTAATAAATCGCCAGTAAGGTTGTAAGCCTCTGTAAAATAATTTGATGAATGCAAAACACGAAAATTTGATTCATTAAGAGTGTACTTTTGAATAAACAGGAGTTTTTGTCTCAAATATCGTATATTTGCTTATGAAAACATTCCAAAGGAAAAATGTAAGGGCCTATACACACGACGACACGTATTAACACGCTGTCAATGCGGTTTAGTCGTATTTGTATCGAACGCAATTTCAAAAATAATTTGCATTTATTAAGTTCATCAACGCAGAACACGCACAGACGTTTAGGTATAACACGACGTGGTATGCTTAGGCCCTTGGCGTAAACTTTTATATTTTAGGCGTAATATATTAGGCGTAAGCTTTTATATTAAATTGTAATACCAGTGCTGATGTTGAGACGTGGGACAGACAGATCTATGTCGAATGAGATTTCTGAAAGATCCAAGTGGTTATTGTGCATCACGAATCCACCTAAGCCCGATACTTCTACGTTTTTTAAATCCAAGTCGAGGCTGTAAAAAAGAATATGATTAAGTATTTTAATAAAAGTAATATTTATTACATATTTTATCTTGTCTCTTTAAAAAAACAAAAGCATAGGTGTCAATAATATAGCCTATTTGTATTTTATGGTAGATATTTATATTTTATTGTGTTTAAGATAGCCAAATAAATGACCGCATAACAAATAAAATTGCAATACACCTATAAATTTAGTATTTAAACGTCTATACGTTATGTATTTGTTGATTTTTAATTGATGGTCATTCTCCCATTGAGTCAGATTAATACCTTTTATACTCACTTAATAAGTCCAGTAGGCAGTACAAGGTGAAAAGATTCCAATTTAAGAGGATCCAGAGGTGGAACACCAAGTATGTCAATTCCATTATTGATTACATTACGGATAAAGTTGATTAACTGTTGAACGAGAGCGTTCACCAACCAATTTCGATTTTGTGAATTTGTTTCTAAACAGAAAATAAATTATAAATATTTTTTTTTGCTTCAACAACTAGATAATATAAAAGGTAAAGTTACCAAATAAATAAGTAGGTATCTATAGGTATATCCTGTAGGTACAAGGTTGTGGAATACTTAATTAAAGAAAAAAGTGTGTGTGTACTTATGTACGCACGTTAGAAGTTATACTTCTTTGGTGTAACAGGACAAAAATATCACAACTCTGTTTGTAAAAGGAATGCAGCTAACTTCATCATATCACTTTTTGGCTGTCGGTATGCGCGCGCATCGTAAAAAATTTACTTTCATATTTTTTCCAAACGTGCCAAAAGAAGTATAACTACAAAAATAACTTTCACACAGCCAGCGATTCTTTTTTGGCCGAAAATAGTACCTACGAGTAGCTGGTGTTGAAATATTGCAGAGTGGTACCACTTATTATATCATAATGACTACGTAAACGGTACGCAACGATGAGTTTTGTTATATGAGACATGAATAGAAATGTATGTCATAAATTCACTAAGGGAATTGATCTCTCGTCCTCCTACGTTGTGTAAGTCCGGAATATGAGAGTTAAGAAGAATAGAGAGTGCACTTGTGTCTGCACACACTAGTCCCATTAATATTAGGTATATTAAATTCAAATAATTTTATTCAGCATTAAATTATTACAATGTTTTACTGAACGTCATGGGTCTACTACCAGTTCGGAAAGAAGAAGCACCAGAGAAGAGCTGGCGAAAGAAACTCAGCGGGACTAATATTATTTCGTTATCTTTTTTGTAAGTTAAAGTGGCAACGTAAAATATCTTAACAGTCAGGTTTGCTGCCACTAAGTGCAAACTTCTGGTTTAGTTTCATATTGCTAAATTTATGAAATATTAAAAGTAACGATGTTCTCTCGATCCATGTTGGTCACGGCAGCCTATCTCACTGAGACTAGCCAGCCAGATGGCCAGATGCCATTCAGATGCATGGTTTTTGTTTAAACACAAATGCACTCTTATTCCTTTCGCTCTTTAAGTCAAAACGTAAAATTTCTAGCGAAGAACTGGCTTTACGGCTTCTCCGAAGTACGTGGAAGTAATGCTATCGACTTTTAAACTCGGCGCGGCTTTCACAGAAAGCCTTTCTTTATCAGAAAGAAAACAATACTTGGCCTGCCCCGTGACTCAAGCCCAGGAACTCTCAATCTGGAGTCGTACATGCTAAATTACATAATAACAAAGTAAACATTGAAAAACATAAGATGTAGGTACATACCCACAATTTGAACTTCATGCTTCTCGATTGTAGGAGCTGCGGTCACGAAGGCGCATAACGTAAGCACCAAAACTAGTTTCATCTTGAAACAATTTTCAGTGGCCTCGGAAGATTACCTAGTTTATAGGTAATATTTGGATTTTTAAATAAAATTTTACATACATTTATCTACGGTACGTACGAACTGAGCTAATATCAATTTAATTGAAACGCATATTGTAGTTTGTATTCACATTTACTTCGTACATTGATTTTTTAACGATGTCAACGAGTCTTGTTGTGATGCTGATGGTCGTGATAAGGTAAATATAGATACAATTACAAGGTTAATTGGGCCCAGTATTATTTTAAAAATTAGGCAATAATACTTTCTTAGATTTACGCGAATGTTTGACATTTTTAAATAAAACTATCTTTTCGGATTATTTCGCGGATTTATTTTGATTTTTGGTTCCCGACGTTTCGAATGCTTTACAGCATCCATGGTCACGGGAGAGACTGAGGTGTTACATGTCTTGAAGGTATAGTTGTTACAGACAGCCTACCCACAATTAAAAAAAATAAAATTGCACCAATTACCTTACCATATTTTTTAACTTTAAACATTTTTATAATTTTAATTATCCATATTCAATTATAATTAAAATAATAGCCACTTACGAATTCACGCATTTAATTCCCGGAATCCCGTAGTGTAATTATTATAAATTTGAAACTGTGCCTATATATATATACATTAGGGTGTCCCAGAAAAATCAAAGTAGTTATTTTTTACGCATACCATCTTAATTTGTTAGAATGGTGTCAAAATCATTGTAAATAAAATTTAAGGAAAGTAGGACAATGGTAACCCGTGTCGACATACGTCGAAATATATCAGTCCTTGCTTAGTAAGGCAAATCGAATCAATCTTTTAATTATTTGAAATCTTGTTAGTAAATCGAATTGTTTTAAGTTATTCAAGATGTTTTATAATTTAAATTTAAATAGATTATTTTATAATTTAAAAGAGTTTGTCAAGAATGTAGATAATTTATTCAACATTGCCCACGCTGATGCGCTTTAAATAATTAAAATAAATGAAGATAGAATTTTTTGGAGCGACAGAGGGAGCCAGGTTGACCGAGTCACATAGTAGACAAAAAACTAAATGATAAAGAGGAAAGGGCATGTCTCCGAATTGGCAAAGATGAAAAGCGGCGTATCAAATATACGAGTATCTCAGCTTCAAGCCCTTCGACATCAACTTATGAACCTTTACAAAATGTCTCATTTTCTGATTCTTATGAAAACATATAATTACGAAAAGATTTGCCAACCATATTAAGACCGCACAACGTGGAACAAGTATAATAGACTATACAAAGATTTCATCACTCCAAAATTAGTAGTAGCATTAGATAATTATCAGCTCAGTTTTTGTGTTCATTTTGGAAGCAACTATTAAGACCCTTGGATATAATACAGATGAATTTCCGATAAGTAAGTCTTCAATTCAAAGAATTCGACAGAAAAACGGAAACAATGCGCTGATGCTATAAAAGTTGATTTTCAAAACGAGGTACCTGATGTTGCAGGGGATCACTGCGTTGGAAAAGTGTTGCCTGCTTTAGATGTTCGAAAATCAACAGAAGAACGGCTTCCGATAGTTTTTTCATATGAAGATAAGGAACAATTTATTGCTGTGCCAAGACTAGAAAGCTCTTCAGGAGCGAACAGGCAAAGGCGGTTAATTGAGCTTTCTGTAAGATTTTTATGTGTAAATATGTACAGAAAATTTAAAATTCAAACTCCAGGTGCCATGCACCAAGCACGATTTATTCGCTGTAAATATCACCGTTAGCGAACTTATTGAAAATTACCACTGCTCAACGTTTGCCTGTTTTTTGTGACATCCTACTTAAAGCCATGGCTGCAATGTATTTTGTAGTCAAAACACCATATCACCTATGGTTTTTGAAATCAATAATAGCTTACGAAAAAATTGATAAAACCATCTCTAAAGCAGCTTTAGAAAATTAAACTTTAAGAACTTTGTGAATCACTGTATAGTAAGTTATATAAATAAATTTAGAAATAGATTCTTTAATATAAAATACTCAAAACAGTGAATGAAACAGCTGAAGAAGCAGTTAAGTTGATGCAAGAATTTCAGGCTTAATTAGGGTTAAAGAGAAACAAAAACGTTTTTGTTACGTTGAATACAAGGACACCGGAAGCTTTATCCCGATTGTAGAAAGAAACATTGAAAAGAAAATTTGAAAAATAATATGTTTTTAAATCAAAAATAAAAAAATAGTTATACGATTTGGCTATATATTTAATATTTATAACTAAATATCTTCGAGTTTTAGAATCGAGCTATATTACTTCATACAAATTATCTTGCTTATGTTTAGCATCACGTTGGCACGGGTTATCGTGATTCAATTACAATAATATTTATTATTTGAGTCATTTAGAAAAAAAAAACGTGAAAAAAAATTTATTATATATATCCCAGGATATAAGATCCTGGGACACCCTAATATACATATATATGTATGTATATGTAACCAATCGTGCATTTTCGGTGTAAATACTTCCAGCTACGGTAGGTGGTTTACTTGATCGTCATTACTATTATATGAAAATAATACCATGGCTAAACTTATTAGAAATTTTATTTTGTTTTAAACGATGACCCAATTAATCCAAGACGATACAAATATCCCATAAAGGTAGGTACCCTACGTAAACTACAAATCTTGATGAATTTTAGAAAAATGTTTATTTCATATCGAAATATACGACTTACCATTGACTGGAACACGTAGTAATTACGCCATTAATATCTAACACATCATATCATTTTATTAGATTAATTGTATAGATTTTAATTTATTTTGTAGATTACATTATTTTTGTAGATGAAAGATTAAACTATATAGTACCTACTTATAGATACCTAACGATATAATCGGTGGTATATTTGTTTTTAAAGATTATTTCTTATTTTTTAATGGCGTATTATATTATTATGAAACTTCCAAACAAAGCATTTAAAAAACAATAGTAGAATAATTTTTTCTACATTTTCAAACATGGCTTAGTTGTCAGTCAAAGAACAAGTCGTAGTTGGAGTTTCGTTTTTGCCTTAGGCCAAATAATATTTGAATGAGACGGGACATCTACATACAAGTTTTTCATTTAAATTAAGTATATTGACAATGAACTAAAATTTTTTCCAGCCGATACAAATCAAAGCACACTGACTTCGAAAATATTTGATTAGGTATCTATAGTAAATGAAAACTACCAATCAGTTATTTTTAACTTTTTAGTGCTTTTTTTTTGAAGTCGGATTTTTTATTTTTTATTTATAATACCTACTTTTCTATACCTATGTATGTACATTGTACATTTGTGTATATGAAATATTTCTATTCTATACTCACCGTACCCAGGGATGAACCCGAGTGAAGCGAGAGCGAGTCGTTAGTTATAAATATTATGTAATATATTCGTTCTTATATTGTAAATAAAAAAATGTGGCGAAAAAGTATTCAGCGTATACTTATTTATTATAAGTATTATATATTAGGCTTGTGCAGTTGGGAGACGATATTAGACGAGGATACATTATTGTAGGTTCTTTTTTCTTGTACTACATATGTATATATGAGAGGAATAGAGAGTGCACGTTGTGTCTGCGCGTACACTTGTGCACTATAATATCTCCTGCGCAGTTAGCTCGTCTCAATGAGATTGGACGCTGTAGCCGGAATCGGTCAGGAGAACATCATCATGTAAATATCTTGTCTATATATTATAATTTTAATAAAATAACCATATTTATAATTTAAATTTTATTCTTTACTTATATTATAATAATAATAATAATTTATTTATTATAACACAACAACAATAACAACTATAAATTAGATAACAATATACATTTACATTTGAAATAAAAATTAACATATAATTAATTGATTAATTTAAAATTTATTTATTTATTTATTTCAAATATAATCAAAATTTCAAATTTTGTGGTTGAGATCCCCTTTTAAGCAAATAATTTGCCTGTATTAGGAGACCCCGCCCTTTCATAAAAAAGTAATTTTATCTTTTAGCTGATTATAATATTATGGGTGATACTACAAACTTAAATAGATCAATTAAGACAAACAAAAAAATAAAAAATTAAAATAAAAATAAAAATTAGCGTACATATATTTGTTTGTGTATTGTGTGTGAGTGTGCGTGTGTGTATGTGCGTGCGCGTGTGTGTGTGTTTGTGTGTGTGTGTGTATGTGTGTGTGTCCGTGTGTGTGTGTGCGCGTGTGTGTGTGTGTGTGTGCGCGTGTGTGTGTGTGCGCGTGTGTGTGCGTGTGTGAGTATTTAATGAATATGTTCTAACAGTTTTTCCGTATCATTGTAACTAAGGGTTTTTATCCAATCTATTAATGTCTTTTTGCATTTATGGTAATTGTAGGGGTAAACATAAATGATACTGTTAATTTTATTATATAATTGTGCAGATCTTTTATCGAATTGCATTGACGCAAATGTTGTTCTTGTTTGTGGGATTTTAATTATATTTTCTTTCCTTCTTTTTAATGTTAAAGACGCATCATAGGAAACAGCCTTATGTACTTTTAGTATAGTTTGAGTAATATACAGCTTTCTAACTGAGAGCAGTGTGCTAACTTGGTACAGATTCTCAGTTGGAAATGTAAGTTTTTTAAAGTACATACATTTTATTAGAGCACGTTGTGCTCTCTCAAGTTCAATAAACTTCGTTTTAGCAGCTCCGCCCCAAATCGGGATACAATATGATAGCACTGATTGTACTAAGGCAAAATATATTTCATTCAAGAGATTTCTGGGGCGAGATGAGCTGCTAAAAACTTGTTTAGGGACTATGTGTCTTAGGGACCGAAACATCCAGCTCAATTTTCTGACTCTGTTTGCCACATGATCGATTTGGGAATGCCAAGATAATCTCTGGTCAATGAAAACACCCAAATACTTAGCACATGGAACCCTCGTTATATTTAAGCAACTGCAGGTAGTGCTTTTATCATTATTACACAGATGTATTTTTATATTGAAATCTTCTCTAGGTTGTTTACGTTTACATATGCTAAAGCATATATAATTTGTTTTAGAAATGTTCAGTGTGAGTAGGTTCTTAGACAACCACCTGGCTACTTTAGCCAACCCTATTTCGGCATTAAGCCGTACCTCGTGCCAAGAATTACCCGTAAAGACAAGAGCTGTATCATCAGCATATGAGAATACCTTAGTATTTGTTAGTTGTATATTACAGAGCTGGTTTACATAGATGACAAACAGAGTAGGTCCCAGGACACTGCCTTGCGGAACACCATATGATACGTCTGTATATTCACTTGTGTAATGAGTAACCCTAACTTTCTGCTTCCTATTTGAGAGGTAGTCATTTAAGAGCTGTAGTGGAATTCCACGTACCCCAATATGTTCAAGCTTTTTTACAAGAATTTGGACAGAGACAGTATCAAACGCTTTTTTTAGATCAAGGAATACAGTTAGACACGGTTTACCGTTGTCTAATTGTTCTGTTACAATTTTAGTTAGTGCAGTTACTGCGTGCTCGGTGGAAATGCCCTGACGAAATCCATATTGTGATTTTGAGATGATATTATAATCTTTAAGGTATGTTAAAAGCCTAATATTAATAAGTTTTTCTATTATTTTGGATATTGAGGGTAATACTGAAATAGGTCTATAATTTGTTATGTCGTCTCTGTCCCCACCTTTATGAACAGGCGTAATAATAGCCTGCTTTAGAGGACTAGGAAAAATACCTTTTCTAAAGCAGAGGTTAGCAAGGTGAGTTAATAAAGGAACGATATCCTTTCTTATATATTTAAGAAATCGTGTTGGTACATTATCCCAACCAGACGCACTATCAGATTTAAGACTCATTAAGACACGATTCACTTCATCTTCATCTGCATCTAGCAGAACGAAGGAATTAGGTTGTGAAGGTGGCAATGTATAATGGTCGTCATTGGAGGCAGAGTGACATGGCTGTATTTTTTGTGTAAGATCTTTTCCGATGTTCGCGAAATAATTATTAATGTAGTTAACGGATTCTAGAGGTGATGATCTTATACTTAATAATTCTTCACTATAATTATTTTTTTGGTTAGAGTAAGATATTGTTTTTAGATTATCCCAAAGTTTTTTCTTATTAGAAATATTATTAATAATTAATTCTGTCTCATACTTCCGTTTTAATTTTTTTATTAGATTGTTGCAATGGTTTCTGTATCTTATATATGCTATTTTTAATAATTCATTATAAGGGTCGTGTTTAAGTTTTTTTTGTAATTTATTGCGGTTATTTATACAACGAAGAATACCTGGACTAATCCAAGGTTTTATTATGCGTTTACTATTTGGAATTTTAAGATGGACTGTATTTTTATTAATTGATTCAGTTAGTTTGTGTATTAAAAGGTTAGCAAGAGACTCCGGGTTGTCGCAGAAAAGAAGGTTAGCAAGATTATTATCTAATAGGTATTTATAAGCTTCTTCAAAATTTATAGTTGATTTAATTTTACTGGCAGTATATATATTATTTAGTTTGGATAATGATAAAAGAGTTGTGTAGTGATCGGTGATACTAGTGTGTAAGATAGCAATTGAAGCCGATATTTTTTGTTTATTAATCTTAAGCATAAAATGGTCTAAGCAATTTGTATCTCTGGTCGCCAAAGTATGTCCAGGCAATATACCGTGGAGTGACAACATGTTGAGATAATTATTTCTGTTAGTGTTCTCATACGATGATGTTGATTCCCCAGGTTTTAAGTTAATGTTTATGTCACCTGCTATGATAATATTTTTTTGTGACTTTAGGTTATCTAGGTGAGTATTAAGAGAGAATATAAAACTGTCAGCATTTATGTTCGATGGGGATCGATAGATACATAAAATTATGTTATTTAGGATATCAATTTGTATGCATGATGCTAGGGACAATTTTATTTCTCTTACTTTACATTTTAAATTATTTTTTATATATACGACAACACCATCATTTTGGTTCAAATGACAAGTTGTATAGAAAGAGGAATAATTCTTAAGTTGTGGAATTGGTTTTTCAGGACTTAATCTACACTCCGTCAGAAGAATAACATCTGGTTCGAACTTAAATTTCGATAAAGATACTATAAAACTGTCAAAATTACATGAAATACTTCTTATATTTTGAGAAACAACGGTAAAGTCATTACTTTTTATATGTATATATTTTGTTAGTTCTGAACAGTCACATTCAATATTATATATGTATAATGTATACATAATATACCTAATTTTTATATTAAGATATTATTTTACCACAGCAGAACGGCAAATATAGTCCAAGTATCGAGCTTGTTTAGGAAATAATTCACTAAATCCATAACATCATCTGCACAGATGTGAGAGACGTACTGGTTGAAACGGGTGAAGTAGTTTGCCAGAAGATCGTCGATAATAGCATTTATAATGTTGTCAATATTTTTATCGAAGTCTAAACGAGACTGAAAAAAATAACAATAAATAAGTATATAAAACTATTTAATTATTAGATTTTTTAAATCTTTAATCGTTTAGTCAGGTTCTATGATACATAATATTATGTAAAGTAAATAAACAATAAGATCGTAAATCACACAAGAATCGACATATGGACAAACGGTGGCTAATAAAATGGGTTATATAGAGCGTGAATAATGTATTGCTAACGTAAACTCTAGATACATTTATAGTTTGACTAGCGACTCCGTTTCGTCGTGAAAGAAGGACAAACAAACACACTTTCAAATTTATAATTTTGTAAGGATGATCAGACAATTATATCTACATTGCTGGACGAGTATGGGTTATTCTATAATAGTTTTTTAATGTGTTTCAAGAGTGATTACCTACTTGTTCTCATATTGCATATTTTCATATACCTACATACTGAAGTTAAAGGTCGTAAATGAAAGAGGATTTATTTACAAATAACTTAATACTATTTTATAAATATTATATAGTATAGTACCTACTATGTATATTTTGAATATACTTACGACAATTTGTTCTATATTGAACTGTGGATGGGAAATATTACGAATTAATACCGATTTTTCATCCTTAGACTGCATTAAGTAGACCCTGCCTCCAAATATATAATTACGTATTTCCATACTAAAAGAAAAATATAATATTTAATTCAAGGACGACCATTGATTTTCTTTTAAATAATATTTAGACGGAAAATTATGTCATACTCAAATTTTCCTTCGCCTACTATAGGTATTACTTGATAAATATCTCCTTTTATTTTATAATGCTCTGTAAAAAAGGATTTATAAGTGGAATTGGTGTTATATTAAAATTCATAAAATTATATGTATAGCTATCATCAAAAGGTAACAAATACCTACCAGATGTAAAAGTCAGCGAAGGAAACCTTATCAATAAATCCATGGCGATTTCATCTCTAACGAAGTCTACCTCTTCCAATTGAAAATTTGCCAAGCCTTTAAATACTCCATTCTTAAAATCAGCATGTAAGCTAAAATTATTTATTAATTTTAAGTCATTATCTCAATTATACATGTTATAACGAAAGATACTTTGTTAAATACGGAAACCACAGTTAGAACCATATATGTTGGAACACAAATGCAGCTTGTTTCCTCGAGCGACTTACCCTCGCTTCGCTCGGGTGCGTCCCTAGCTTATAGCTACATTTTTATTTTTTTGAACGGTATCTTAATTATTTTTCTAAAGTAAAAGGAACCTAAGTTGCTTCTTATAACACCAGCTAACTGCCGGTGAAAATCCGGTCAAAATCGGTCCAGTCGTTTCTGAGATTAGCCGGAACAAACAGACTGACAAAAATTAAAAAAATGTGTTTTTCCTATAATATTAAACCTTATATACCTACTTTCATATGCATTTAGTTAAAAGTTTTCAATTTAATTCATCTGTAGGTATAGACTAAGTAGTGGTAGCAATTTCACATAATTTTATGGAATTAACGTGAAATTTCGATCTCTTGTACGAAAAACCATTGATGGATAGATTACTGGGATCTGTTATATGATTTGGAACTGAAGCCAAAAGAAGTCGTTAATGTTAGAAAGAAAATATGTTCGTCTAATAATAACCATTAAATTTATTTTTGCTCTATATCTATACTAATATTATAAAGAGGTAAAGTTTGTGATCTTGTGAGTTTGTGGGTTTGTGAGTTTGTGACGTTGTGGGTAACCTCAGGATCTACTGAACCGATTTTCAAAATTATTTTACCAATAGAAAGCCACGTTCTTTCTGGGTGTCATAGGCTATATAATAACTCGAAACACGAATAGACTTTTTCGTGGTAGTCGGATTTGCAAAGTAAGTCGGAGAAAAAACGGTCGAACGAAAATGTTTCTTACGAACGCTGCCTTAACGATGAGAGATATATGATTATGTTCTAGGGAAAAGTTGTAGAGCCTAATAATGCCTACAAAAAAGTCAGCGACAGCATATGTCTAACTTTTATATTTAACTCACAAAAAGTAGTTTTTTATATTAAAAAAATAATTTAAATCGGTAGGTCATGTTTATTGGTCATATTATCAACAATTATGAATTCTTATCAAAATAAGTAAATTTATCGTCTAAAATGCTTAAAACAAAAGACTTTTCCCTTTTACTACATATAATTTGGACAAATGGTTAAAGAGATAATACAACATATTCGTAGGTATAGACGAACCCGAGCGAGCTGTTTGTCTGTTTTTCTGTTTGTACGGGCTAATCTCCGAATCTATTGGACCAATTTAAATGACATTTTGCATGGTGGTACCTTATATCCCCGGGCAACATCTTAGATATTTTTCATCCCGGAAAATTAAACAGTTCCCGTGGGATAGTTAAAAAACTATAACAACTTATACAGCTTAGTACACAAAAGCTACTGATGGGATTTTAATGAAACATTACAATAATATAGTTCATACATGACAAAAACAAATCTGCTACTTTTCATTCCAGAAAATTAAAGAGTTTCCGTGGGATAGTTAAAAAAATATAGTAACATATACTGCTTAGTACACAACCGATGCTGATACCTTATATTGCCGGTCAAACAACAGGTTACTTTTCATCCCCGAAAAATGAACAGTTTCCGTGGGATAGATCTGTTTGTGCTTTATATTATAAAGAGGTAAAGTTTGTGGGTTTTTGACGTTATAGGGGCTAATCTCTGGATCTACTGAACCGATTTAGATGAAATTTGGTAAGAAGATAGTATGAGAACCTGGAAAGGAAATAGGATACTTTTTATCCCGGAAATCATCCCTTAAGGGGGTAAAAATGGGGACGAAATTTTTGGTTTGGGAAGCAAGCGCTAGTTTAATATATTTCTGTTGGAATTCTGTATTTGTGTACCACATCGAATTGGAATAATTAAAAAATTACCTACACGGATTTACTATATTATTATAAATTTATATATTATAATAATATTTATATATTATTATTAGATTATAAATTTCTACCGAAAATTATTTTGAAGAGGAAATGTTCAGTACTTTTTGAGTTATTATTATTGAGGATATTCTCCGTTTCCCGCGTTTGCCCGCAAAATTAACTTGGTTTCTCATAGAAGTTACTACTATAAAATATATATTTAAGTTATAATAACTATGAAATAATTGAATATCGTAGATGGGTAAGTATTTTATTTTCCTTTTGACTTAATCAATTATTAGATATGTTGAAACAAAACATACATTTAATGTTTCATGCTCCCTCACTGTCCGATTTATTAAATTTATTTCTGAGGTAACTTTATGATTTTTTTCTATTGCAAAAGTTAACGGAATTATGTTTTAAAATTAACTAAGGGCTCATAAAATCTTGAAGTACAACAAATATGGTATCTGCGTCTTAAATGACTAAAAAAACCAAGGAAAGTAAAAACCTTAGTGCGTTATGAGGCAACAGCATTTCAATTGTTTTGTTAATAAACTGAAATGGATCTAGTGCAGGAAGATCTTTCTCAAAGTGTCCATTTTTAATATTATATTTTATCATTTCGAAGAGTTGGCGTATTACAGCATAGCTATTAAATTTTAAGTTTCTCTTTGGTACGTCTGAAACAATTTTTTATTATTATTATGCTATGTAAAATTTAATAAAATCTTTTTCGTCTTAATTTACGTATTTTTCTCATTATTTACATTTAATAAACATTAAAAAAAGATAATTTAATATTAAAATAAAAATGATCTTCAACTTAATTACTTAGATAAATTTAGTTTTAACAAATTATATCAAAAGTATTTTTAAAAGTGCATTTATATAGACTCACCTTTAGAATATCCAACGATCAATATCGCAAACAATATAAGAACAATCTTCATATCTGGATACTGTAAGCTAGCCTATCAGATTTCATTACAATTCTTCAAATAGTTTACGACATTTGGCTATGTATGAATTAACTAGTTTTGCTTATCATATTATTTCAAAATCCATATTTACTTATCTTTATCGTAACTAAGGACACATTAAGCAACGTTATTAGATGACAATTGATTAAAATAAAATCTATAAATCAAATGGCTCTACATAGTAAATATGTATCACTATATTCACCACGGCCGGGACCAAATTCATAACCAAATTCAAAACCAAAAATGCACAACGGATGCATTAGGTTCTTTTGCATCTGCCAAGTTATTAAAAAACTTCAAGTTTAATTTAAATGCAACATATTGTCAAAGCGTCGCTCAGCCTGCACCAATAAATCTCCTGACTAAGCTGCATGAAGCTTATTGTGCAATGCGTTTTAATTGAATTAATTTCCCATGATGATAAAAGAAGTGGAACAACAATAGCTACGGTTTGTATGGTATTTAAATCCTTGACCCAATTTCACTGAGTTGGATTAGCCCAAGTTGGTATATCGGCGCTCCCATCTTACACTTTTGATAAAGTCAGTACTTAAATGGTATTAGAGGCGAAACTCCATTGTGTTGCCTGAAACAGGCCCTTGATATAATAGAATTATGTAACTAATGAGTCACACTGCCAGATGCCATGGTGTCGGCAAGACCCCTGTCCTCCTTAAATATTTTTAATTAGAGTACCTACAGTTCATATTTATGGATGATTGCTATTAAGACAAATTATTGTCAATATTTTTTTTTAGCAAATTTCTACTGCTATAGACAGTTCGATAGTAATCCATACTAAAAAAATGTAAAAGTGTGTTTGTTTGATTTTTGACCTTTTTTCACGTCGAAACGGAGTGACGGATTGACGTGATTTTTTGTGTGAAGATAGTTGAAGGGTTGGAAAGTGACAAAGGCAACTATTTACCGCGGGAGATTATCTAACTCCCACGGGAAAACACGTTATAATACAATCCAAAAAAATATTTATGATCAGAATTACTCGAAACTTGGTATTAATGCTCTTCAATAAAATTAAATAAATACGTGTTTTAGCATTTTTCGAAATTCATCCTATAAGGGGGTAAAATAGGGGATGAAAGTTTGTATGAAAATACCTTTTTAGAGATTTTTTTGTAGTTTTAGCGCGAGCGAAGCCGCGGGCTCTGCTAGTTGAATAATAAAGGGCTATGATATAAATAAATAAATATGTTGGGACATTAACACACATCACCATCTAATTCCATGGTAAAGTACGAGGTTTGTGGTATGGATACCAGATAGTTGATATACTACACATATATAACTTTAAATACATACATATTATAAATATTAAGACCCATGACTGGAGTACGAACATTCGTGCTCATCACACAAATGAAGGCCCCCAGCGGGACTCGAACCCGCGACGCTGGCACAGCAAGTAGGATCACTATAAACTGAGTAAAACGTATCGTCAAAATATTAATGTAAGTAGATAGATATCTTGCCCATTGTGATTCATGAATCAATACCTACCGTTTAAGGCAGAGATTTATACGCTCTTAAAATGTACTGTAGCAGAATCTTTCATCTGGATAGTCGAGTGGTTTAAAAATATTTTAAACTATTAACTTTTTAGTATAAATATAAGAGGCACTGAAACATAAACATGAGTTTTGCGAATCTTTATACTGTTATAAGTTTGTATGTGTACTATGTATACCTATCGACATCTGCACTTGGATATGAAAACAAGAGTAAATTTTATAGATTGAAGTGGGCCGGATCACAGATTACTCAAATAGAGCATGACGAAAGGAAGTCTCAGGAATAATTAAATGGCATTTTATATGTAAGGATTTTTCAGAATATAAGAATTGTGTCTTGTTTAAACTTCAATATTTAACCGTTTCCCTGTCCCATGAGTGATGTATAAACATTTCGATTGTTTAACTATTGTGTATATTTTGCGCACAGTTAATCTGTTAAGATGCTTTTCTTCCATGTCCCATAGATTTGTTCCATCCTGTATATGTACATAAAAATCTAAATCTATTCTAAATTTAAATCATTCATTCAATTTTTAATAAGATTTTGTGGAATTATTGTATACCTGGTTTCTGATATAAGTACTACCGTTCACGCATAATTGTTACCGCGTAAGTCGTTTGAGTTAAAATGGTATGTAAAGTACTTATATCAGAGCACCGAGAGAAACCGGGTTAGGCTGCTACCTAATATTTATTATAATTAATTCTAGCATTCATTATCTTTACAGAGAGAAATAAGAAAAATGCATAAAATAAATATAAGATTTATGTCTCTGTATGTGATCTATGAAAGACACTACTAATTAATTACTCTCCTTCTGGCGCAGTCGGGTTAAAAAAGAAGCCAGATGAAAAAAACTACATTTACTATAGATACTATGTAAGTCAGTGCGTATAAAACTTCAGAAATAATCTCAATAAACACTTGATATTCGAGTCGAATCGAATTCAGAAAATAGCTAATAATTTAATTACTTCCGAAGCTAAAAAAGAACAAAAAAACAAATTCACTAGACGCAGGTTAAGGTAAATAGTTCAAACAGTATAAACAATAATACACGGAACAATTTGATTGAGCTAAATTAGTGTCTGGCACCAATTTTTCACACTATGCCTGTTTCTCATTGACCCTGCGATTTTTCAGAGCAATAAACTTCAAAGCCCTCCATCGACTCCCATAGACTATTTATAATAGTTAATTCATTAATTTTTGTTTACTATTTATGAATTATATATTTATGATTGATACCGGTTATAAAATAAATAGTAGTATCTTAATCTAAGTAATAAAAAAATAGATAGAAGATATGGACAGGTAAAAGGTGAATATGACGAAATTATAATGATGCCATTTTTGGTTTTTAAATTACATTTATTATCTACTAGCATTGCCCGCGGCTCCGCCCGCGTTCAGATGACCAAAAACCAAATTCTTAGATTTTACATATTAGTATACTCTTACAGTGCAGCTTTTGTATTTTTCTTCAAAAATGAGATATTTTCCCGCGGTAAAAAGTATCCTATATGTTGACCCAAATAACCAGCTACCATCATACCAAATTTCATCAAAATCTGTCCAGTGGTTTTCTCGTGATGCGGTAACAGACGGACAGACAGACCGACAAAAATTCTAAAAACTATAGATTCGGACTCTGTATCGATAATTATGTCTATTTCAATTAGATTTTCCAAAAAATATTTAATGTACAGATTCGACTTAGTTACAATTTTATTATATGTATAGATTTATTTTTCTGTTAACGTAATGGTAGGTGGTTTTTAAGTTATAAAGGATCGATTGGTATTTCCTACTATTTAGTAAAAAACTGATGGAAGCTCAAAAATTAATGCTGCCAAATTAATTTTTTTAGCTAAATTCGACGTAGCCCAAGGTAGGGTTATTTAATCATCGGATTTACTGTATAAGCGCAACAATGTCTTTAGACATAGATAAAAGTTTTTTCTCTATAATAATAGAAGTACTTACATATATATTAGTATAGTACCTATGGTGTTATCCGTGGCGAACGAAATGATGAACTGCATCTATTGTATATCTATGTAGGTACTTGTTCGTCGTTATCAATTAAGTATAATATTCTAATATAATACTATAAAAGGTTCATTGGCTACGATGCGTAGCAAAAAGCTACAGAAGCTATAATATGAACTCGTAGAGAGATCTGTTGAGGTATTAGTTTAAACTTTGATTCGGCCGCGGACGCACTTCAACCGCTGAAAATTAAGCCGCAAAAGACATCTCCGCCCATGTAATCGCTAATTGATTAGTAAAATGTATGAGATCTAATAAAAATAAACATTTATAGTTCTGAAGAAAACCTTTTTTAAAATTTGAAAAATGTGGCGAACAGTGCTGTTTCTGGGTCTTATATCATATGCAATGGTTTCAATTCAAACTGCTCCTGCAAATCAGTATAGTAAGTATTTAATTTATATATTAAATGAATAGTTTTTTTTATAAAAAAAGGAGTAAGTAGTAAGTCGCGTTTCACCTGTGTTTATGTCTGTTTAAAATTATTATTTTTGATTATGGTATATTATTATTTTTGCTTCTTAAATGGATACAGTTAGGGACCGTTATACCGACCGTTATAATTCAATGTATCAATTTTGAATTTTGGCTAAATTAAATATATGAGAATTTAACATTTTTTTTATAATTTCATCTCAATACTGACTAGCAGTATTGTTTTTTTTATATATCGATACTCGATAAGTGTTATCGTGAAGTAGTACGTAGGTATATAACCAAATATTATATCTTATTTAAACCGTCTTATGAAAATCATTTCCCTTCAAATTCGGGTATTATCATTACATATTTTCGAATCCTAAACAAATAAAATATCCTTAAAAAGTCAATAATAAGTTAATAAACATAATTTTATTATTTAATATGGAAGGAATAAAAAGTAATATTTCTTTTATAATTTTGAAAAAAAACAAAATAATAAAAAGTAGGTAGATAGAATTTTTTTCTTATGAATCTGTCTTTAAAACAGGGTTAAAGGTTTTGTTTTGTTTTATTTAGTATGTTCTGTAACAATTTAATCTTTTATTTCAATAGTAATATATCTATTTGGGAAATAGAAGGTAGTAAATAAGAACAAAAAGCTCAAACGCATTGCTTATTTCTATTAGTTAAATAGTTAGTTTAATTAAGGTATGTTTTTAGATTAAGGTTGGTTAATTCTCGCCAGATCAAAGACGACGTGTTTGAATGTTTGGAAACATTTAATAGCTATGTGTATCTTATAAGAATTTTTGCGCCTAATTACGTCAGCACTGAGATGTTTCACTGTGGCGTATGCCTACTGACTTGCTACTTGGATGTGCTAATTTTTTTATAGTTGCTAAGTAGTTTCAATAAATTACACTGTGTGCGGTCGCCGGCCAGTCAAGTGTCAATCATTCAAATTTCATAGTCTCTTAATATAAATCAATACATATATGGTTTTAGGGTTCCGTAGGTACTTCTGTTGAAGAAAACGGAATTTCTGCTAATTTAAGTTTAATTAGAAAATTAAAAGTAAATTAGCAGAATATTTTAGTCCAGAAGGACAAAAATACAATTACTAATATATAGGTAGGGGAATATATGAAGTTAGGTAAGCTAATGACGGAAGTACCTATACCTGAAGTAAATAATTAAGTTATGTTTTTGTAGGCTAAATAAATCTTAAGATGTATTAAATATTTTATACTAATTTATTTGAAGTTTAACAATAATCTATTATAGGTAATTCAAGACTCCAGCTCCTCTCTTTCAAAGATCAGGGAACTTTAAAAACGAAATACAAATAAGAATTAACTTTTAAAAAAGTTTACATATACTCCCACAATGTACATATACCTAGATATCCATATGATTTGCACTTGACCATTTTTGAAGGTGTCACAAACAAATAGTTGATTCTTAATTTATTAGAGTAAATATCGGAATTCTTGTAGATCCCTTTTTAATTTAAGAACAATTGATCTTTATTGACATACATTTAACTGTGTTTAAAGAAGTTGGTAATTTAATATGGAATTTGTAAAACATAAAGGTAGAGCCGAGTTTGTGTTGAAATCTCGATGGCGAGTTCGAATATTACAACATGGATAGGTATGTTTGTATGGTCTTAACAGATTTTATATATTTATAGTTGGTATTTTTCATATTCACAATATACCTTTTAGGAATCAATTTTTTCTACTAATTTTATAGAAACTTAGATACATAAAGCGCCATCTGTTGATATATATTTAACAGATTTATCTTTATTTCTGACTAGCATTGCCCGCAGCTCCGCCCGCATTCAGATGACCAAAAACCAAATTCTTAGGTTTTACATATTAGTATACTCTTACGTTGTAGTTTTTGTATTTTTTCTCAGAAATGAAACGTTTTTCCGCGGTAAAAAGCATCCTATATGTTGACCCGGATCAGCTATCACCATACCAAATTTCATCCAGTGGTTTTTCTGTGATGCGTTAAGAGACAGACAGACAGAAGGATAAAAACTCTAAAAACTATAGATTCGGCCTCTGTATCGAAGATTTTCCAAAAAATATTTAATGTACAGATTCGGCATAGTTACAATTTTATTATATGTATAGATAAGACCTCTTGATTGCCTATTACAGTATTGTGAATTATCCATTATAATTTCCAGCGCGGGGAACACATACAATCAGAGCAGACCCTGAACATCAAAAGCAGCCTTATATAGAAGTACGAAATGCGACCTACCACGGCAGTGGACCTCGGGAAGAAGCCCGTGCGATGTGTTCTGTAAAGACTCAGGAGGTTAACGCGACCGCTAATGCTACCATTACGAGACGGCTACATGGAGTTGTTACTTCAAGTTCGTTAATCAATATTTTATCTACATTTTAATAATAATTGTATTTCTGCCTTTCCCCAATTACAAGGTGATATTTTTTTGAGGATTAAACAAATATTTATAATTTAAGTAATAGATTTAACGTTGTTTTTTTACAATATTATTGACGACACGTTTGGCTCAGTTTGTAGTGACCCTACTTGCTGTGCCAGCGGTCGCGGGTTCGAGTCCCGCTAGGAGCATTCATTTGTGTGATGGGCATGAATGTGTGTACTCTAGTCATGGGTGTTTATATTTATAATATGTATGTATTTAAAGTTATATATATATATATGTATATATATATATATATATATATATATATATATATATATATATATATATATATATCACAGAAATCTTAATAATAAGGTAATAGAAATGCCATTGCGGTCTTTTAGTACTGGGACGCGTGTCGCCGGCTTGCAGCTACCAACACATTGACAACAATAAATACACACTATCGCCCACACATGCATTTTGCATTGTTGCAACAAAAATTAAACTTTAAGCGATGACATTACGCAATATTTTCTAAAAACGCATAATCTCAGATGGCGTGATCCCTGTGACCAATAATAAACGTGTGCGAAAAGCACAGAATGATATCGCGCGCTCACTTTTAGTGCAGTACAAAGCGCATAATGCTCATATCGAAAATTTTCCGTTGAGTCTTGCAACAATAGGTAACTAATTTATTGAAAGTGTTTTGTTTCATTTCTCGACGCGCTTTTAGACGATTTATTTATTTTCATAAAGGGAATACAATAAAACGTTAAATGTAAGTATTTTTTTTTATTATTATATAGTTATACAAAAGTTATGCAAAATATTTGTTAAAATCCATATATATATATATATATATATATATATATATATATATATATATATATATATATATCCATACATTTTGAACAATGACTTAAAAAAAATTATAGAATTTCTATGTTGTTTATCAAACAACTCGCCCTTAGAATTATTTACTCAATCAAATCAAATCAAAATATTCTTTATTCAAATAGACTTTTACAAGTTCTTTTGAATCGTCATTTTTACATGATTAAACTTTACATTAAATGTCAGTCTGTAAGTCTGTGAGTATGTTACCACCGACTAATCTGAATGCTGATCTGCTGAGAAGAGCCGGCGAGATACTCAACAGTTGCTCTTTTCAAAAAATATTTGATTACAATATTTATTGCATTACAATATTTATCCATTTATCCTACGTGAGACACAGCAAGACATTAACCCCACGCATTTATATCTTCTAAATATTCAGTAATGGTGTAATAAGCCTTATTCAATAATGTATTTTTAATTTTAGAACTAAATTGATTCAAAGGCAAGCTCAATATGGACTGATGAATTTTATTATATATGCGTACACCTTGCCCCATAAACGATCTATTTACTTTATGTATTTTGTCTTTTTGGCATTTAAAGCCAGGTTATTAATGTTACTGCCCTGAAAAATGTAAAAATTTATTTAAAAGTTGTCGTTTTGGGATAAATTGGATAGCATTTTTGGCAAAGTGATTGAGGCGAATATCTATATATTTTTCTAAAACGCATTTCACTAATTGAATGACATGATTATCAATTGGACACTGGTCATATTGATGAAAATCAATATCTTCAAATATTTTTATCCCAACAAAATGACGCATGGCCTTCGTTACAAATTCACTTTTAAACTTTTTATTTGCTATTAGCTTGTTGTCAAAAACAATACTTTTTAGCAGTACATACTAACAATACTAGTACTACATACATAACAATAATAAGCCTACCTCCTAATAATTTTCTGAATGAAAAAGTAGTTTAAAAGTACGAATTTACAGATAATCGTTGATAAATGACTTTTTATAAATTATTCAGACAGAAAGAAAACATACACAATGAGATGTAACAATTAAATATTTAACGAAAAATATTAAGCCAAACGTAATAAATTTTCGATAAAAAATTGTGGTGGCACGTCACTAATTCGCGGCTAACTTGTGCGGCGTGTCCTTGGAATTTACGTACGCGACAATATTGTTCTTTACGCATGAATATTATTTCATTGCTGCTTTTAACAGTTGTAATAGTATACATGAACAAGCTTAAGTGGTAATGGTTATTGAATTTATAAAAAAAAACGTTTTCCTGCGATAATCGTAGTAGTGGTGGTGAAAACATTTGATTTGGCTATATTTCTTAAAAACGACATTATTTCAAAAATTAAGTACTTACATATGAAATGTTATCCCTTTATTTGTAAAGTTACAAATTGTGGAAGAATTTCCGCAGTTGGATATGCTGCAAAACACCATGTTTACCTCTCCGTGTCTCAAATAACACTAGTTACCGCAACAAACGCTTTACACGCGCTTGTGACCTACGAGTCACATGCGCGGCGACAAGGTCACGCGTCTATGCCACTTCTATTAGCTTATTATTAAGATTTCTGTGATATATATATATATATATATATATATATATATATATATATATAGTGTGTCAACTATCTGGTATCCATAACACAAGCCTCGTAGCTTACCATGGACTAGATGGCGCTGTGTGTTAATGTCCCAACAAAAAAAAAATCTTTGTAAAAATTGGATTAACCATATATATCTAATTAAATAAATTTGATTTATTAGAACGAATTTCCACAATACGGATAAGTGTGTATTTTTCCGATGTTATTATTACTTTTAAAAGGTATAATTGTTATCTTGTTTGTATGTAAGGGATATAAATTTTAATTACTGACCGAACTAAATTTATTTCCCTTAATTACAAAGCTTAACATGATAGATGTATAGAATGTGCAAGTGTTCAGTTAGGTAAAATATTTATTTATTATTAAAAATTAATAAATAGCTTATGGTTTAATTATTTTTAATACTAATATTTTAATTGTTCCACAGGAGAATTACACAATTCGATCCAAAGACTAGAACTAATAATCTTCGGTCAGATGCAGCAGCTCTGGCAAAGTTTAGACGCACTCCGTGCGCAAATGGCCGGACAAAGCAGAGTGTCTTACCCTGATCGACGAAGCATAAGTTTTAGATATAAACCTAATTCTCTTTAAATTTAAATTAAATAAAAACATTAAAACTTTTTATATGTAAAATACATATATAATAAAGATATATGTGTTTATTTTAGATTAAATATTAATTGTCAAAGTAACTCTTAAAGCCACGTGATAACTTTTGAGTTACTGACAACATCGCTCATACACCACACTAATAGCGTATCCAGATAGTACTATATAGATAATATATTTTATTGAAATGAATAATTCAATTCTCTTGTTAATGGCTTCAAAGCGTGCCAGCTAAGCATAGATAACTTCGTCAATGTCAACTAGAATGGAGAAAACACGAATGAATACTCTTAATTACAATACAAATAAAAGAAATTCAAGAAAAAAAAAACAATCAAATTTAGTTCATTAAAACTTCATTTACAACTATAACTTTACTTATTGTTACTGTACGTTTTACTGGACGTAAAACAAAATGTCACATTTATTATGAAATTGTGTATTCTAAAGTACCTAAAATATATATTTTTTTAAATAAAACTTCCTTTCCGAACTTTTTCGCGTATTTATTTTCATTTTTAGTTCTCGACGACCTAAATAAAAATTTAGAAAAAAGACAGGAATAATAAAACAACAGATGTAATAATGTTCAATTTATTAACAATTAGTAACTAATCATCAGCATTTACCCAGTTGTTTTAGACTAAACATTTGAACTATACTTGTGCATTTAGAAAGAACCATCGTCATACAACTAACTAATAAGCGTGTGTTCTCGTTCTAACAGTAGAAAAATATGCAAGAATGAGTGAGACAGATATAGAATGTATTTCTTTCACAACAATAGTTCAAATGTTATTAAGTAATAACTAGGATAATATAACAAGAAACAAGATTAGTTAGTGACAAGTTAAATGATGGCGCTTACATCTAAGTTATTAATAAATATTAACAAGTAAACGATTTATTATGCTTTCATAATTTTGTTGGAATGTACTTTGATGATAGTATACATTAATATATTAACGTTTCAATCCTTTGAAACTATAAACAATGGACGGAATACATCGTAATAATAAATATATATTTAAAAAAAATAATATCAGATTCAATATAATATAAAATATAATATAATGTAATAAATTTACCATAATATAATCATCAATTGAAAATTATTAAAATAAATTATCTTTGATTAGATTCATATAAGCATATACAAATTACATACAGTAAGTTGCTGTTGCTGTTTTATTTCAATACGACAAAAATATTTTCCCATTACTCAATATCAATTAGAAATTGTTTAAATAAAACAGTAAAATTCTAAAGGCTTGAAATAATTAAAATATATTCTTGAATCGGCAAGTCACATGTAAAGCGGGAAAACTAATGGATTCATTCTGTCTCTATTTAATGCCATATGATGAAAAGAGCAAGAGTCACTTTCTGTTTCTTTTCAATCGAATTCAAAAAGGAGGAGGTTCCCAAATCGGCTGTATTTTTTTTAATGTTTTTTTTAAATCATTTATTTGTAGCACGACTTTTATATTGGTTGCCTTTTGATTACAGAGTTTGGTTTTTATATCGATTAATGTAATTTAATTATCCGATCAATCGAGTAATGTGTCATAATATATTTATGGTAAAAATAAAGTGTCTTTCTTGAAATTTTCTACAATAAAGAAATTGTTGAATACTTATAAACAGTAACATAAAAATAGTTAATAGATACTTAAAATGATTTTTGTTTAAATGACGTTTTTTTAAATTTCTTAATAAAATAATATGATACAATTTATTGTTAATTATTACAATATTTGTTCAAATTCAATGGATTATTGTTTTTTTTTTAATATTCATAATTCGTCCATTTTGGTAACATATTAGTAAGCTACATTGCGCGTTTGTTAAGTTGATACGAATACCATAGTATATACTCATAATAAACAAAATAAATCAAAATTTATTATAAGTGAAAAAGTATGGCTTTCAAAGGTTGTCATTAGACAATAAATTAAAAATGTACATGTATGTTAAAATAAGCGTTTGCCATATACTATGGAATCTATATAGATATGAATTTGTTGAAAAAAAAAACGCTGTACACATTTTCGAATTTATGCGGCAGTAGCTTGCATGTAACGTCGTAACTCCTCTTGAGTGTCGAATATCATGACGGGGAAGGGCGAGCCGGGGACGTGTCGGCCCGCCCATCGCACTTCTACACGGTAATCGCCTGGTTCGGTGGGTGAAAACTGCAATGTGAATAGATTAGAATAATTAATTTAATCCATACTATAATATTATAAATGTGAGTTTGTCTGTTTGTCCTTTTTTCACGCCAAAACGGAGTGATAGATTGGCGTGATTTTTCGTGTGGATATAGTTAGGGGCTAGAGAGTTACATAGGCTACTTTTTGTCGCGGGAGATTTTTTCATTTTCACGGGAAAACACGTTATATAATATATAGTCTATCTATTCCATACTAACCGTTTAAAACATACCTAGGGATGAACTCGAGCGAAGCGATGGTGAGCCGCTAGTTTTATATATAAATCGGGCTGTTACAATAAATGCGAAAATTTATATGAGTGCTTGTTTATTATTTGTTTACATTGAGACGGTTGGATGAAATTTTGTATACAGACAAAGTATATGACTTGGAGTAATTAATAGATAGGATGATGAGGATGAGGAATGTTTCTTAATAAATATAGATCGTTATCGACACGAAGAAGGGATGGATTATTTTCTGTTAAATGTGTAATATATTTGAAAAGGTTAACAACAATAATATATCTTTTTAATAATAATTGAACTTTACTATATGTATGTATGTATATATTAACAGTCCATTTTTATGTAATTTTTTGAAGCCATTGCCAAAAAATAATTTTGTTTAAATATCTTAGCCTTTATTAACATTAAAGAATTATTCACTAATATACTCAATAAGATATATATACCAACCTTGCACAATATGGTCCTATCCTTCTGTGTCTCGCGCTGCATCTCGACGCGGAAGGCACCCTTGGGCCCGCGCACGCGTACGGTGAGCTGGCCGGCGCCGGCGCCGCGCGTGTCGCACAGGAAGCGCGACTGGAACGTGGCCAGCACGCCGGGCTCCACCCCCGGTCCGTACACTCGCACCTGGAGTGCGAGTTGTTTGTTCTTATAGTATAATTATTGAATTATAATTCAAAATGTGTATTTATGTGTTGGGAATATAAGACCCATATTTAATAAGATTTCAATATTATTGATAGAGCTGTTGTAGTGTACATTACACTTATTTTTCAGCGAGCTTTTTGGAAAATTAGATTAATCTACTTTAACGTAGCCTGAATAGGTTTTTATAATATTAAAACAATTCAAATAAGTCATATTAATGTACAACAATAAATTGAAATCAATAAAACATTAATAAAATTAATTTTTTATGATTCTCCCTAAAAAGTATTAGATTATATTATTGATGACAATAAAATACAGTGTTTAGAAATCGTATCTTAAATCTATCAAAAACTTCAGATTTAGACGGTTTTCAAAAATATTTCATAAGACAAATACTGTTTGATTACAAACAAATATCAACAATAACAAAATACCATATAAAACCAAAAAAACACAACAGGTAACTAACTATAAACTAAAATACTAACTTTAGACGGATCTGGGGCACCGGCGACCTTGAGCACGAAGGGCGAGCCGGGCACGTGCTCACCCGCGAACTGCACGCTCAGCACGTGGCGGCCCGCCTCCGCCGGCTTCACGTTCAGCGTGAACGTGCCGTCGCCGTGCTCGTACAGCTCGCAGTACGCTACCTGATATACAACATTCATGTATTAAAATCCAAATATTAGACTCATTTATTTGAACGAAAATGCTGTAAGATAGGTCTGTTAAAATAATATCGATTGTCATGGCGTCGATTTTATGATTATATTTTGGATTTAAAATACTGTAGTTACATCTGGTAGCAAGTTACAGTTATACTCGTTAGACATTATTCTTAAATTCTTTTTCCAGTACGATTAACCTGTCTAGATGCCTTCATAAGACAACGTTGTTGATAAATAAACTGTGATAATTTACACTAATATTGTAAAGAGATAAAGTGAAGTTCAGATGCCCCCTACATTTAAACTTTATCTCTTTCATATTTGATTTTACAGATCTGATTCTGAAAATTCTTTCACTAATAGAAAACTACATAATACCTAGCGTTATAGTTTTTTTTAGATAAAATGTTTTTAGTGTCAGAAATCATAAATAAAAATAAATCGAAGTCGGAAAAATGGCCGCTGTTGCTTTCTTTATCTTTGCGCGTCACCTAAATGGTCTTTCACCAGAGGGTGTCTGTAAGAAATTGTTCATAGCAATAAGACCGTCTTTGCTTGTATTTTGTGCAATAAAGTATTTATAAATATAAATCAATAAATAAATGGTTTGAGATAATGCGATAAAATATATGGCAAGAAGTGGCCTAAATCCCTAGGTAGTTCGCTCAGCCTAGCATCCGAAACTAGAACGACTCGCTAGTATAATGGCATACCTTGTTAGGTCCAGTGCAATGCGCGGTGAGCTCCCCCGGGCCGGCGCGCCGCGTGTCTATCCACGAGCGCACCTCGCGGCCCAGCACGCCGCCCGCCAGCCCCGCGCCCGAGCACACCACGCGCGACGCGTCCCCGCTCTCCGAGCCCGCCATTACTTTCACTGTTAGCGGACAACCTGGAAGATGAAACATGTATGGATTGATATTTTATGCTATTTTAAAATAGTGAAAGTCTGCTTAAAAAAGAAGTTTTTACTAGATTTCGTTTATGGAATCGAACACTTACTTCTACAAATTAGCTAAGTTTTCTACATGCCAAAAAAATTGCGATATAAATAGACAGATAGACTAACATAACGTTTTTTACGTTTGTTTGGGTTTTGGTATAGTACAAAGAGACTGATGAGTTCCTTATGGGATTTTTATTTTAGAATCACAAATATATAGATTTTAGGTAAATAAATAAGTTTTTTACTACCACTTATAGTTATTTGAAACAATTCGGAGTGTAGAATTTTATTATAGTCATGTATTTTACTGTGATAATTTCGGAGAAATGATAATAAAAGAATCTATCATATTGAATAAAGGTACAATTGAAAAAATAATCCAAATCACATTACTCTACCTTTAACGAGTCGTCCGGCCCACATAACCCGTAACTGGTGGTCTCCAGGTCTCCGCGGCGTGTACGTCGCCCTCCACAGGCCGGGCCCGGCCGCTGCCAGCGCCACCGACACCGAGTCTCCTTCTGGAGATGTCAGAGAGGCCTCGGGGGCCCCAGGACCCGCGGCACTACCATCTAGAATAGAGAAACCGACAAGTATAAGTGTCTATTTTATCCCATTTTTTTAAATCAAATACGTCTTGTATGGCGGTTTGGGTGGTTAATTCAATCTAGATTCGATTTATTGCTTTAATCTAGTTTACTGTCCAAAACTTCTTTCGAAACTATTATAATGATAAATGGATGATGATAAAATTCTGATCATTGTCTTTATTTATTTATTTAGGATCGTCAACAGAAAATACATTATTACATAATAATTTGATATATGCTATTAGTACATTGATTAAATGCTTTTCTACTTACAGATAATCACATTATATAAAAATAAAAAAAAAATAATTAAAGTTAAGTTTAGGTACTCATAAACTTTAGAAATATTACAATGGGACAACACAAATACTAAATCAAACTCGTTTAATTTTATTATTTCGTAAAAAAAGAAAGCTTATAACATAGACTGAAATGATTTTTTACTTCAAACAATTAATATAAACACATATAATTATTTGCCCTTCGACCTACGCTGGTAATTGACATAGTTATTAAAATTAGTATACAAACTATACATATACGTGTGTGCAGTTTTAAATAAATAAGACGTTTTCACACACGTTACGTTGTTACTTAGAACGTTTTTACACAAACCCTAGTCTTACCGATAGTAAGCACAGTGGGTGTATGAGATATACATAAGTGGCGTGGTCCGTTCCAACTATTGTGACTCTATCTGCTGTGTTCCCAAAGACAACGAAGGCCTTCCCAAATGGAGGCCCCCCGGCGACTAAAATCCTTTTATAAGTGAGCTTTAACTATTGCCCGCCCACAGACACCTTTTGGAAGGGTATAATTATTATAACTCACCGATAGTAAACACAGCGGGTGTATGAGGCGCGGCGTGGGCCAGTCCTCTCCCAGCTAGTGTGACTCTATCCGCTGTATTCCCAGAGGCCACGAGGGCCTTGCGAGGGGCCCCGGCGACTAACGCCCCGTTATATGTGAGCTCTAACTCTTGCTCCCCACTCACCCCTTCCGCTGCGGTTAGAGTTACTACTGCTCGGCCGGATACTGTTTCTACACCTGTTGATAGTTTTATTTTGGTTTATTCGTGTAGGTTAGATTTTTTAATCTATAATTAATTCATAGTACTCATTTATATGTTCGCAATTCTTTTAAAATTTCTCTTGCGCTATGAAACGCTCTTTAGTATATTAGGTAGGCTAGCAAACTCAGAACGTCGTTTATTGTATTATGACGATCATCTTTAATTAATTATAGCTATATTTAATAAAAAATAAAAAAAACTATATTCAATATTATTTCAGAAATACATAACAAAACATTTAAAAAATATTTCACTAATCATAAAATGATGAAGTTTATCAAAAAAAGGAAATAATCAATGTTAAAAATTAATTACATTCAAAATAATATTTTTTTAGTCATAAATTATACAAAAGTGACACATAGTGCTAAAATTACAATTAAAACCAACTCACGCTGGTGTCTACCGGCCAGCAAGCACTCCAGTGTGCCGGGGCCCGCGTTGCTTGTGTCTAGGACCAGTTTGGAGGGCGCGCGGACCCGGCCCGCGCCGTCCGCGCCCCAGCCGCCTACTGCCTGTATTGCTGATGTGTCGATCACCTATTTAAAAAATAAAAGTTTATGGTACGCGATTACGCATATAGATTAAAATAGAAAGAATACATTTATTTTTACACATACTCGTATGTATGTCTCCGACTGCATAATAATATATTCCTCCGTGAACTAGTTTGCATCTTTTTAGTTAGCTTTTATGCAGTCGGGTTTTTTATTTTCATAATATATTTATTTACACCTTTTTAAGTAGAAAAATTAGCGAGAATGGTTGTTAACCAACTTTAAATCATTATATATCCTAAACTGTTATTTAAAATGAAAATTTTATGAAAGACACCTAAAATGATTTTTAAATACCTATTCAACGATACCCCACTTGACATACTTCGTCGATTTTGATTTGTTGTCTTTTTCACATTATGGCGTCAAAAATCGGTCATTTTGATTTTTCCAAATGTTTATGTTTTCTATCACAATATGTATATAGCTGATAAACACATTACGCTTCTTTGCGTCGCGCAGTCGGGTAAAAAGGTTGTATTTTAACATTACAAACAGACTTTTGTATAGATTAATTTGTACACTCACTTTAACAGAAAACGGGCTTCCAGGCAAAGGTCCTGAGGTAGTGAAAATCCTAACTTCATACTGGCCCACTACCAGAGGGATGTACGCACAGAGCCACTCCCGCGGCGCGCCCGCTAGCACCCTACATTCTAGTAAACCCGAATCTGTTGACTCCTCTTTGTTGTCTGTGAGTTTTTCCACCTGAAATAATAATTATATTTAACGATGCTATTGCCCTTCGATCGTATATTGTATTATACTAGTATCCTACAGTAACCATATATAAAAAATATCCTATTACTTAAGAGCATTTTTTATCTACTTGTTAATTTAATAGTTCTAAGTGTTTGGTTATTAACCAACTATTAAATTAACGATTTACACAAGTTTAAGTAATAACTATCCAAACATAAAAAAATATATATATTTATAATATTTGTTCAATTAATAGGATTAAGTTAATTTTTTGAGTGTACTCAAAATATTCGAATCGTACGTCATGTATTAAGCCAAACAATGCTGAATTTATACTAGGGGCTAGTGCCCAGGGCGACAAATTTTCGAGGGCGGCAAAATCCGAAAGATAAAAAAAAAATCATATCGTCATCGATTTTTTTTATTGTTTTTTTTTTACCAAAAAAATGAATAATTAAAAAAAACTAGTACATTTTTCGAAAAAATTGAAAATATTTACAAAAATAATTAAAAAAATTGAACTTTATCAAAACTTTATCCATTTCACGCAAATTTCGATAATGGAGCGGCATTACTTATAGTGTTCAGGGGCGGCGCTAAGGTTGAATCCGGCACTGAATCCAAACTTAACTTTTCCCATATAAATTTCTTAACTCAATTAGCTAAACAAAACCTATAAGTAAATTCTTTAAAAAAATGTCACTGCCACGTCGTTACCAAATACGTTTTAAAAACCAATAGCCAAATAGTATTTCTAGCACTTACTTGAACAGTAGGCGCAGTGTCCTCCACACACTGTATGGTGAAGGCGGCCTCCTTGCCGACGTGCGCGTGCGCGAGGCCGGTGCCCGAGCACTTCGCTGCGTTGCTCGCCTTGCCGCTTAGGACTCCCAGCGAGACTGGACTCCCAACTACTGGTGAACCTATAAATGGATATAAGATACACATCTATATCTATGTTTAGTATAAAATAAAGTCGCTGTCTGCCTCTGTCTGTTTCTCCGCATACTTCTTCTAAACCACGCAACAGATTTTGATACGGTTTTTACTAATAGAAAGAGCGATAAAGTAGGAAATAATAATTACGACGGATATAATAATTTGAAAATATTTTGTACCAAATAAATGAGGGTGTTTTGTTAAAAAACTGTTTTCGTACGATTCCATGGCTAACGCGTGCTAAACCTAAAATATATAGACTATTATATTCTGTAGCTGAAAGAATTATATGTAAAAATAAATGTACTATATTCATAAATCTCATCTTAAATACACTCAAATAAAAACTCACCTCCATATGTAATATAAATTCTATAGTGTGCTGGTACTGTGGGCCGCAGTCGAACTTTGTGTGTGTGCCCATCTTCTCTTATGTCAATTGGCAATCTTACTCTCCTATCGCCCAGAGCTTCACACACAACTTCTAATTCGCCTACACCCGCGTCTTTTGTGTCAACTGTAAAAAATATTGAAATTGAAAGATGTGTTTTAAATCAATATTTCGCAGGGACTATAATTTTACTAGTTTCCCCGGAGTTTTGTCAATCGTCTACTTTTCTTACAATAAATATCACGGGAGAGTAGTATACTTATAGTATAGCTCAAACCGCTCAACAGATTGGGTTGAAATTTAGCACACTGATAGTTATTACGACGTAGGCTTTCTCTAAGAAAGGATTTTTAAAAATTCAATCCCTAAAAAGGTAAATCGTGGGTTAAACATTTGTATAGAGAAATCATAAAAGACAGATGTATCAATTTTAAAAGTAGCAGGATTACTCCAGTCAACAAATAAATAAACACGTGTTTTGTGTTTTTCCAAAAACAACTCCTTCGGGGGCGAAAAGGATAAATAGACTCTAATCACTTATATATTGAACTTTTGTACAATATAGAGATATTTTTTATGGTATGAAGCTTTCATCAAGATTATTTAGAATAATATAAATATAAAAATATATTATAAGCAAATATAATATTTAAAATATATACACTATTATATTACTCTAGCTAAAAGCATTACCTGTGAAATTGATAGGTGTTTGTACTATAATATTGCCTGTTGGCAATCCAGATAAGATAACTTTATTCGGATCGAAAGATTCGCATGTGAACGGGCTGCCTGTGACTGGTTTCGAAAGATGAAGCACCTCTATAAAAAAAGAACAAAAAGTCAAAAACAACAATAAATATAATTCTTTCTATAAAGTTTTTTTTTGTGAAAGATTATACTCGTGACTTCTAGCACAATCTAAAGACAGATATATTCATTCTCCGTCATCGATATCTATAGTAATATTATAAAGAGTAGAGATTTGTTTATTTGTTTGTTTGTATCGAATTAGCTCCGAAACTACTACACCGATTTAGATAAAATTTGTTAAGAAGATAGTTTGAGACCCTGAGAAGACATATGATATTGTGACATATGATATGATGACATATGATAGTTTTTATCTCAGAAATCATCCCTTAAAAGGAAGAAAATGGGGATGAAAGTTTATATTGGGTAGCAACCTAGGGACGAACCCTAGCGAAGCGAGGGTTTGTCCGAGGGGAGGCTAGTATTTAATATTCTTTCATAGTTAATCTAAATAATACTCTTTTCTTTCTGGGAGAGTTTCTCCCGTGACCGTGTTTGCCGTAAATCAATCGAAAGTGGAACCAAAAATCAATATAAATCCGCGAAAAAATCCGAAAAGATAGTTTAATTTAAAATGTCGAATATTCGCGTAAATCTAAGAAAGTATTAATCTAAATAATTTTAATACTTTATTTATAAATTATCATCCTCAATATGTACCATAAACAAATTACTAATAGGTCTTACCTATAGTACTTTGTCCCACTTCATTTATGGAAAATTCGGCTTGTAGTAAACCCGATTTTGTCTGGTAGCATCTTACGGGGAGCGCTCTAGAGCCGGGGCCGGAGACTACTACGTCGAACTCTCTCGCAGGACGTCCGAGAGTGTCAATGCTGAATGATGCCACTTTACTCACTTGAGCTTGGTACAATCCCTGACCAGATGCTGTCACCTAAAAAGAAATGGGTAATTAAAAAAAATCAGTCGAAAGTGTAATTCTGCTTTGAAAATCGGTTAAAAATAATTTTGTTATACGATAATGTTATTTGTTATTACGATAACGTTTTATTTGTAGACTAGGTTGATTCCCTATACAAACTTTCATCCCCATTGTCACCCCCTTAACAGATGATTTCCGGAATAAAAAATATTCTATGCCCTTCTCATAGTTTCAAACTATATTCTTATCAAATTTCATCTAAATCGGTTCAGTTGGTTTTTAGTTTATTCGTTACAAACATATAAAAACACCAATCTTTCCTCTTTATAATGTTAGTGTAGACGTGTAGATGAAAAATTCTCGAGTGATTACTTTGTCAGTCGATGTAGGCTCGCGTATCATTACATTACTACCCCACTTACTGTATAGGCGGTGGCTACTATACTAACTTTCAAATTTCAAAGTTTTGACTAATATATGTTATTATAAAACTAAAACACTTTCTCCTCATAATTTTTACGTACATTTATCTCCATTCTAATATATAAAATTATAGAACTTAATAACTATTTACAATAACTATTTTAAAATTTAGTGCTTGAGCAACATTGAACAATTCATCAGATAACAAATATTTAAATTAAAATATATATTTAGTAGAACTAAATACAAATAGTAATCATAAAAAATAGTATGTAAAATTGTAACTAAAAATCGATATTTAGTTGTAAAATAGTTGTTTGTTTAATGTTAGCAAGTTTGTTGAATATTAATTTTTGTGTTTTTTTTATTGCCATATAAGCACTCCAGCTATGTACTACACACCACGCCCTTTTCTGTACCATTTTTGAATTTAAAATATATTTATAAAGAGTTTTTCGAGTTTTAATTTAATAAGTTTAATAGACAGTAGGCAGTGCTAGCCCAGTGGTAACGCGCACGCTTGGGCAACCAAGTGAAGCGGGTTCAAATCCCGGGTCTCGTATCTCTGATATTTTCGAGTGCGAATCATTTCTAACATGATTACCACTTATTTTACAGTGAAGGATAACATTGTGATGAAACCTGCACGTCTAAAACTATTGAGTTTTCAAAAGATATGTGAATTCTGCCAACCCGCTCTCGGCCAGCGTGGTAGATTATGACTCGATTCATCTCGTATTGAAGGGCAGCCTGTACCCAGCAGAGGGACGTTAAAAAGGGCTGAATACATATTATGTACATACATATATTTAAAATTTGGTCTAATCTACATTACACTTGATGTCACATACCTCTTGCCCGTGCTGCGCGGGCATGACGTCAACGACGAGCGGTTCCCTGGCGACGGGCACGCCGCTCCACAGCAGCGTGAGGCGGTGCGGCGCGGCGCGCGCCGGGTGCCACACCAGCTCCGCGCGCGCGCCACCGCGCCGCCGTACCGAGTGCGCCACCGCCGCGCCGCCGCAGTGCACGCGCGCCGCCAGTCGCCCGCCGCCCGCGCCCGCCGTGCTCACTGCCGGATACATTTTATTTTATTTAGGATCTCCAACAAAAGATACACACTATATACAACATCATATAAAAACATAAAAAATAAATAGGACTAACAACACGTTTTTCTTTAGGCTATTGTGTTAAAATACATTTAACACTTAATAAAATAATAAAACTTAATAACGCATCACTTAGTAAGTGAAAGTACGGAAATTTTATTTTATTTTTCTTTATTTTTGTTAATTTTACATAAATATATTTAATCAATATATTTAATATAAATAGCGCCATCTACTCACATCTCTTTAAACTACTTCAACTTTCTTACTGACGAGATTGATTTATTATATTTTTATAGTATTTTATTTATCAAGCCAAATTAAACGAAAATGATGAAAAAATACACAAAAAACGAACAATATTATGCGTAGGCTTTATCTATACATATTCCTCGGGGTAGCCTGATTCCCTAGAGGACGCGTCCCCAGGTGGCGGATAGGGGGATGCCCGATGGGGGTCAATCCTCCATAGGGTAGGAGGGAAATAAAATACCTCCCGCGGACCACAAGGCCGGAGATGGATTCTCCGTTATCAAACCCCACACGCAGGCTTCTTCGACATACTCGAAGTAGAGACTACGTGCGTGCTGGGTGCTCAGGATGGAGTACTCGGTAGGGATGGCGGCGGATGAGTTCCTAGAGGACCAACGGCGGCGCCCAAGCCCCGTAGTGGGTTACATCCTTGGCGTCAGGTGGCAACCGGCTGTAAAACAGAAGCCAACAACCATACTTATCATGAAAAGACAACACGTAAGGAACACGAGGAATACTAGGGCGTTCCCCTTAAGCGACGTCGGAGATGATGGAACTGCGAAATATGCTAGGGCGTCCCCCAAAAGCGACGGAAGAGCAAAACAGCAAGGCACCGTGACAATGTCCGAACTACGTATTGCTAGCTGGAACATTGGCACGATGACAGGACGCAGCGCTGAATTAAGCGCCATCTTAGAACGACGTCGCATCAACATCTGTTGTGTGCAAGAGACAAAATGGAAGGGTGCAAAATCACGACAAATCGGGAAGGGCTTTAAACTCATATACTACGGTACTGAAAATGGGAAAAATGGGGTCGGGATTATTCTAGATCAACATCTGAGCCAAAAAGTAATAGAAATAAATAGAGCGAGTGACCGCATCATATCTGTAAAACTAGCCTTGGAGAACCAAACCTGCCTCAATATTGTTTGTGTCTACGCGCCCCAGGTCGGCTGCCCTGAAACAGAGAAACAAGACTTCTGGGAAGAACTGTGTACACACATGAATGCTATACCTGTGACTGAGCAACGAATTATCTGCGGAGATCTTAATGGGCATGTGGGCAGTGGCGTAGATAGGTTTGAGGGTCATCATGGGGGTTTTGGGTATGGAACACGAAACAAAGAAGGAACCACAATATTGGAATTTGCAGCGTCTCTAAATCTAGCAATAGTAAACACATTTTTTCAAAAGAAAGAGGAACACCTCATTACTTATAAAAGTGGGAAATCCAAAACACAAATCGACTATATAATGACAGATAGAAAGAATCTCAAACATATTAAAGATTGTAAAGTTATTCCAGGCGAACCTTTAACATCACAACATAGATTACTATTAGCAGCTTTAAAACTCAAACGACAAATTAAATATAAAATACCAAGAATAGATAGGATTAAATGGCAGGAACTTAATTCGGAAAAGGGAAGCAATTTCAAGAATAAAGTCCTAGAGTACTTGAGCAACGACTTCTCATCAGACGACTCTCCTACAATAATCTGGTCTAAATTTCAGGATGCCTGTATTGCTCAAGCGAAATCTACACTGGGTATCTCCAAGGGTCCCCTGCATAACGAGAAAGATGCCAAATGGTGGAATAACAACACCAAAGCTACAGTGTCTGAAAAGAAACGTCTGTTCAAGAAATGGCAAGAGAGTGGCTCAGAGGAGGATAAGGTAGAGTACAAACAGGCTAAAAAGATTGCAAGAAGATCAGTTGCAATTGAGAAGGAACATGCAGACCTTGACCTTTATCGGCAATTAGAACTGGCTTCGGACACACAGATATATAGAATAGCGAAGCACAGGCATAATAGCACTAAGGACTTTAGAATTACAAAGTACATCAAAAACAGCAAAGGCATGCTGCTAACATCTGATAAAGATATTTGTAAAAGGTGGTACGAGTATTACCATACATTGCTCAATGAGGAGTTCCCCAGACAGGCTGAAATCGAGGAACCAATAACACAAGGACCCGTAAATCAAATCACCATAACGGAAGTCGAAAAGGCTATTCTGAAAATGAAAAATCACAAAGCCTGCGGGCCTGATGACATTCCAGCTGAACTGTGGAAGTCCTTGAAGGTGGACGGGAAAATATGGCTAACTAATTTGTTTAATAACATCTTAACAGCTGAAAAAATGCCAGATGCTTGGAGAAAAAGCATACTTGTCCCCTTTTACAAAAATAAGGGAGACGTTAGAGAGTGCGGGAACTTCCGGGGGATAAAACTCACTTCACACACCTTAAAATCTGGGAACGAGTGCTCAGTGAACGCCTAGCATCTTTAATCTCCCTAACGGAAAACCAGTTTGGTTTCACAGCGGGAAAGGGAACCATGGATGCAATCCATGCTGTAAGACTGGTAATGGAAAAAGCTAAAGAAAACGACCAAAACCTGTGGATGGTATTTATAGACCTAGAAAAAGCTTTTGACAGAGTACCAAGGACTGTGATATGGCAGGCACTTAGGGCGCATAACATACCTGAACACTATATACGCCTCATTAAGGACATGTACAACAACGTCCAAGCCTGCGTCAGGAGCTCGGCAGGTCTATCTAACAGCTTTGACATAAAAGTTGGCGTTCATCAAGGCAGTGCACTGAGCCCTCTGCTATTTAATGTAGTCATGAACTATCTGACGGCAAAAATTCAAAAACCAACTCCGTGGAATCTGTTGTATGCGGACGACGTAGTTCTTATATCTGACAGTGTGCTGAAGCTACAGGAAGACTTAGAGAAATGGAGAGAGTCGCTGGAACAAAATGGCTTACGCATTAGCAGGACAAAAACCGAGTATATGTTCTGTAACTTCAACCCCAGCGCTTCACTTGACTCGGGCATCACACTGGGTGGCACGGCCATCCCTAGAGTTAAAACATTCAAGTATCTAGGATCCGTTCTTTCCGAAGATGGTTCTATTGAAGCGGACATAACACAAAGAATGACATCGGGATGGACGAAGTGGCGCACTCTCACAGGGGTACTATGTGACGCTAAAATGCCAATAAAAACTAAAGGCAAGGTGTATAAAACGGCAGTACGACCAACACTACTGTACGGCAGCGAGGTTTGGGCAACCAAAAAGATTCATGAACAGAAGCTACACACCACCGAAATGCGTATGCTAAGATGGGCGGGAGGAGTAACACTTAAAGACAAAGTACGTAACGAATATATAAGAGGAAGTTTTAAAGCTGCACCCATAACCGACAAAATATTAGAATCAAGGCTCAGATGGTATGGACACGTAATGCGTAGGCCCAACGATTACGTGGTGAAAAAGTGCCTTTCCATTGCAACAAGAAAGAGGGGCAGGGGAAGACCCCAAGCTACTTGGATGACGACTGTCCAGAGGGACTTGAAATGCCTCGGCCTCACCGATGAGGACGCGAACACACGATCTACGTGGCGTCGCATGATAAGGAAAGCTGACCCCGCGTAACGGGATAAGGCGAGGACAAAGAAGAAGCTTTATCTATACATATAATAAAATTGTAACTAAGCCGGATCTGTACATTAAATATTTTTTTGAAAATCTTATTGAAATAAACATTATTGTCGATACAGAGGCCGAATCTATGGTTTTTACAATTTTTGTCTGTCTGCCTGTTACCGCATCACAGAAAAACTACTGGAGGGATTTTGAAGAAATTTGGTATGATGACAGCTGGTTATCCGGGTCAACATATATAATACTTTTTATCGTGAAAAAATGTCTCATTTCTGAAAAAAAAAATACAAAACTGCAATGTAAAAGTATACTAATATGTAAAACCTAAGAATTTCGTTTTTGGTCATCTGAACGCGGCAATGCTAGTTAATTATAATATCCTATAGCAATATTTCCGTTTTATAAAATATCCGAATAACCTATTTAGTATTTAGCTTAATTCGTCAAATTATATTGTTAACCTATATAAAATTTTGGAAACGGCTCCAATGATTTTTTTGAAATTTAGTACACAGGGTGTTTCGGGGGCGGTAAATCGATCTAGATTAGTCTTATGTCTGAGAAAACGCGTGTTTTCGAGTTTTCATGCAGATTTCTTTTGCATTATTCCACGCAAGATATGGTCGGTAATTTGCACGCTTGGATATAAACATGGTGTTCAAGCGGCCAAGATGCAAGATCAACAATCACAGGTTCGAATTTCGGTCGCATATAAAGTTTTTACTTTTAGTTTTTTTTATATTTATTCAAGTTTTTAGGTTTTTTTAAGAAAATTGTACTTTTTAACCAAAAACTCCGAGCGAGGCTCGATGGCTCAGGTACTAAAAAATAAAACTAATAAGAAATAAAACCCCTTCAATGTCTAACAAATATTCTCACCAGTAAGAATAGCAGGTCTATGTGCCACCGCTTCCCCTATAGATAAGACTTTAACAGCAGTCGCATCTAACGCTTCTACTTCAGCAATCGGCCCTCTTGGACTCCTCACGAGATACCTTCCCACTCTATTAGCTGGGAACGTAAGAAGACCAGTGTCCTCAAGATTGGCTTCAGATATTCGAGATCCAGTTGGAGATATCACTTCTACCTCGGATAAGCTTTCGTCGATTTCTATTGATGCTATTACACCTATAAATTAGGAAATCATATTGTTAATAGGTACATGGATGAAAAGGTTTATTATAGGGCACTGGAAAGACTTATCTTTTGAATGGAATTAAATGCATTATCTGCAAAATCCATTTTTATTATACATAAACAATAGTATAATAGCGCTACTTGAGTGTATCTAACGTCAGACTGAAATAAATTTAGACTTTAGATAACGGTTTCTAAGATAGTAAGTCTTTATTAATATTGATCTTTTTTTTTTGCGTTTACAAACAAACATTTATCAAATTAAAAAGTTACTTTCGTAATTTCAAGATGTTTTCCGCGACCGTGTTTGCTAAATACCAAAACAAAATCGCAAAAAAAAAAAATCGTGTGTGTACTTATGCACGCATGTAAGAAGTTAACTTCTTTGGCGTAACAGAACAAAATTAGCTAAAGATTTATCCCCTTTGTCATAACTCTGTTCGTAAAACGAATGCAGAAACTTTATCATGTCGCTTTTTGGCATCGTAAAAAATTTACTCTCATATTCCTAGTGCCAAAAGGAGTATAACTTCAAAAATTATTAGCGTAAATCTAAGATTTGCCAGAATAATCTAGAACAGTTTGAATATGAACGTTACCTGTTTGCACGTACGTGTGTGGTTCACTGACGCGGCACACGAAGGGGCTACCGGGCACGGCGTGCTCGTTGAAGGTGACGGACACGCGGTGCGGCTCGCGCGACACCGGCACGAACGTCACGTCGTACAGCCCGCGCGCCACCGCTACCACCTGGTTTTATGGTTCATTTATTTTTTATATTTATTTTGTGTTTAATGTTATAAAGAAGTAAAGTTTGAATGTATGAGGTAATCCCTGAAACTACTCATCAGGTTTCACAATCTCTTTCACGAAGGAGAAATTCTATTCTACATATTGAAAGCAATATTTAGAATGGGACTTCAGGGTCGACATAGGCTTCATATTATTTTGTTATTTTAATTTTTTATTATGATAAAAATAAAAAATCAAAGTCAAAAGGCAACTGGAAAGGTCCATTAGTAAATAATACTATTATCTCCTTTTTTAAAAGTTGAGAAATGCAAAATATTGTTATCCATACTTCAGCCTTCACAGTAGTAGAGGGTGTAGACACGACGAGCTCGAGGGTGCCCTCCCCCGCGCCGGCCGCGTCTACGCTGAAGGTCACCGGCTTGCCGACTTCTACTCCTCGCTCTTCATCAACATTCTCGTCTAAACTCAACCCTTCGAGTGTACCTTCTAATTCTGTGGATGAGATGAATATATTTTTTAGACATTTTAAAGATAATAAAAAAAATAAGTTTAATTTTTATTCAGATATATGTATACATTTTGAACACTTATTAAAAATAGAAAATGGACGTTATCTGAAGTTATTATTTTTATACTAATTTTGTAATTTATGACATGATTATACACAGAGGACAACTACATAATTTAAAGAACTATTTATGTTAAACATCACGTATGTCTTTCTGTCCCTGTGCAAAAAACAGGTCGAGAAATGTAGTATATCGTCCTACGTTATCTAGTGTTTATGAGCTTGTTTATCTTCCTTCACCGGCTGAATATGCGCAAACAACTACCATGAACAAATTAAGTTTTATAAATATACTAGCGGCTAACCCTCGCTTCGCTCGGGTTCATCGCTAGGTACGTTTTAAATAGATATAAGTAGTTATTAGCCACCGTTAGCTATATAATTTTTTTTTGTTATATAATATTGACATTAATATTTATACGATACTAACATCACTCAATTGTTTTGTTTTCCCGGAACCTCTCTAACTAACACTTAAACTTTATGGTATGGTATCAAAGTTCAAATTGAATTTTAAGTATTATTACGAATCTTTTGTATGGGATTATAAAAAAGTGTTGTTTTTTGACTTTTTCAGGCAATTTTTTAAAATTTTCTCTCCATAAGAACCATCATCGTACTTGAAAGAATATTCTAAAAAAAGAATTAGCGAAATCGGTTCAGCTGCTTTCGAGATTTGCGCTTAGCAACACATTCAGCGATTCATTTTTATATTACAGAAGATGTATTGCTAAGAAAACTCACCTCCAGGACCAAGTCCAGTAACCCGTACACGGCGCACGTCGTACACGTTGCACGTGAACGGCGAGCCCGGCACGTGCCGCCCCGCGCACTGCACTTGCACGCTGTGGCGCCCCACCGCCTCGGGCGTGTACGCGCCGGCGTACCTGCCCTCGCCGGCGGGCGTCACCCGCGTGCGCACGCTGCTGCCGCCGGGACCCGTCACGTATATTGTAGGTTCACCGGCTGAAAATAAAATCTGATTTGATCGTTGAAGCAATGACACAAATTGGATGAGTGACCGTTTACTGGTAGCAGGATATAATATTTAATATTTGACTTCACCATATCAAGTTGTCATATGCTATGGTTACATAAAAATATTCAAAATTGAAATTTACTATTTTTATTAATATGAAATAGAAATTTAAACCGCTTCTTCGTTAGCAGTTTATAAATCATTGTAATCAAATGTGAATATGAATTTAATATGCCTCAGAGACACCAGTCTAAGTAGAAACAATTGAATGAAACACAAGTAACATTTTTGTAATGCTACTGTTATAGACTAATAAACAATGATATAATTTTGTAAATAGATATCTCAAAGCGATAGTTGCTTTTAGACATTTACGAGATAACGTGAATAAACAGCTTGTTAGAAATGCATGTAAGAAGAAATAAGCAAAATCTTTGGTGATAAGAGAAAAACACATAAAGCGATAAAAGATTTGTGTGGTTGATGTATTAATATTTTTGCTAAATTTTCAAACTTCCATTATAATTGAATAAGAAAATTTAAATGTAAAAAGTGTATTTACTAAACAGGTCCCAATACTATAATTCAAACATAAAGTGGGTTTTTGTATTGATTACAATCCATTAAATAGAACCAAATTAATGTCAAAGACATTGACGTTTCAAAAATCAGTATGGTGTATATCCATGGATCACCTCATCTAAGCGCTAAGTTCAGTAAAGGACCACTTCCGCATCCGGGTGTAACAGCGTTGAACCGTTCTCTCTATCCCACGGAGACCGCACATTTTTCCGGGATAAAAAGTGGCCTAATTTTTTATCTGATGTATGAATTATATTATTGCAAAGTTAAATCCAATCAGTTGTTTTTGTGTACTAAGCTGTATAAGTTACTATAGTTTTTTAACTATCCCATGGGAACTCTTTAATTTTCCGGGATGAAAGTATCTAAAATGTTGACCGGAGATATAAGGTACCACCATACAAATTTTATTTAAATCGGTCCAACAGTTTCGGAGGTTAGCCCGTACAAACAGAAACAAAAAAATTGGAAAAATCTGTATTTGTTCTATTTTTCTCCTTACACCCGCCTGACTCGGTTTTTAGCATTTTATTTCTATGTACAGACATTTGACCACTACATCTATTATATGTATAGATGTCAAATATTTGTGTAAATCTAAGAACGTATTATGTAACTCAACTTACTATGGAAGCCAGTGAGATGTATCTCCGCGGGTTCCCCTCTAGGCGCGGAGCTCAGCCCGGGGCCGCTGGCCCTGGCGTCGGCGGCGGCCGCCGGCGCGGACACTATGCACGTGAAGGGCGAGCCCGGGACTGCGTGCCCGTTGAACCGGACTGAGAGGGTGTGGGGCGCTGCTTCTGTTGGTTTGAAGTTCACCTGGAACAAATTGTATAATATTTTCTTAAATTTACGTTTGTTTGTTTGAACGCGCTAATCTCAGGAACTACTAATCCGATTTGAAAAAATCTTTTTGCATTAGATAGACCGTTTAATAAGGATAGGTAATCCCGGAAAAATGTACGGTTTCCGTGGGATGGATTTGTTTTTGTCTATGGATGAACCCGAAGCGAAGCGGGGGTTAGCCGCTACTAAGTAATAAGTGTCTCCCGTGACCATCATTGCTGTAAAGCATTCGAAACGTCGAGAACCAAAAATAAAAATAAATCCGCGAGAAAATCCGGAAAGTTAGTTTGAATTAAATCGTTTATATTTTTTAATTAGATTTCGTCTAATATAATACTTTAACGTCGTTTGGCTACCGATTTCAGTTATTCTTTTATTGAAGATACTATATCTAGAGATGTTATGATTTAAAGAAGAACAAATTCTATGCTTAGTGATAAAAAAATTATTCTTTACAAATAATAAAAGGATTAACTCTTCTGGTAAAAAAAAGTTAATAATAATATCTATAAATATTATTTATAACAAAAATGAAGTAGATGAAATTAATCTAATAATGAGTTAAATTTTTCTGATACATTTCAATGTAAAATAATGATAATAATTTTACCTTAAATCTAGCATTTCCTTCACTTTGCACGTAATTGGGAACATTTCTTCCATTTACTGCTACTATGATTTCTAAGTTTCCGGCACCTGAAATTAATTACCAGTTATGTTGACCACATCTTGGTTTATTGTTGCTTATGTATGTCATATCTAGTAAGTCAGAGATCGCGGGTTCAATTGTCACTTAATATTTCTTTTTACGGAAACTTTTGCACATTACAGTGTTTTAGTGTACTTTCAAAACAATAGTGCATAAATAAATTTATAAAATTAAAATTCGTTTAATATACCATGTATGGAACAAGATGTTCAAATTAACTTCCTAAAAAGGATAAGTTTATGAAGTAATAGATTTTTTGTATTTCCTATAACTTACCAGCATGAGAAGCATTGATAGTGAACGCAACAGGTCTTCCAACGACACCCGGAGATATGTCGGTGACGGACACTCGCGACGCACTGTACGCTTTCACTAAAAAGGGGCTGCCCTCAACATGACCGCCCATTGCACCGGCCCGAACCTGAAAACATTTTATACATGCAAAATTTGCCATAAACCTCAAGTTTCTTGTTTCATGTTTATCACAGATACGGATTTTCAAATGGATAAATATTATATCGTTCGTATACTATGACTAGCGACTCACACTCGCTTCGCTCGGGTTCGTCCCTAGTTACGTTTTAATTTATTTGAGCGGAACCCTAATTCTTTTTATAAAATAAAAGTAACCTATGTTACTCCCTATAACATCAGCTTCTTTCCAGTGAAAGTCCCGTAAAAATCCGTCTAGCCATTTCAGAGATAACCCGGAACAAAAAGACAGACAGACAAAATTAAAAAAAATATGTTTTCTTATAAGTACGTATATAATTTCATAATATGCATTCATTAAAACGTTGTTATTTTGGCATTACAAACAAACACTTCAATTTTATTTATCTGTATAGATATAACCAAAATGGATTGTCTAAAAAAATGGAAGCTTTGGCGGTTCTTTTTTATTAATACAACTTGAAAGTTATAAGTATTTATTTAGAATAAGTATTTATTTTTCTAATATCAACTATAATTTAGTTAGTAGGTTGATTCGTCATACAAACTTTCATCCCCATGTTCACCCCCTTAAGGGATGATTTCCTCGATAAAAACTATGTCTTTCCCAGGATCTCAAACTATCTTCTTACCAAACTTTATCTAAATCGGCTCAGTAGTTTCGCAGTCTATTCAGTACAAACAAACAAAGAAACAAAAAGCCAAATCTTTCCTCTTTATAATAATAGATTACCTCAATACTGTGATCACCGACGTCGACTGGTACGAAAGAAATTGTATATCTCTTACTAGGTTCATTTTCACCAACAGTTTCTTCGGCTGAAACCTGAAAAATAGAGGAAAATTAGTTTCTATTTTAAGTAAGTATTACCTACGCTACTTCAGTTTTTCAATTTTTTTATCACAGCAGTAAACATAAAACAGTCGAAAGGATGAGTATTTATTTAACCACCTGTGTACAGGTCGTATTCCTCAATGCATTTCCCAATATTAAAAAAAGGGGGTTTCAATTGCTATTCCATACAGGTCTTGATTTTATAATAAAAACTGCTTTCCGTATTTTCCTTCTTAATTAATCCTTGACAATTTATTACTGCTTTTAAATACCTGGACGGCCACAGGCCTCCTAGCTGGTCCCAGTACTTCCACATGTGGCGAGGTCGGCGAGTCGACGCTGAAGGTATATGCATCGCCTACAGATACTTTGTCTGGGGATTCCCCGGAACCAGCGCCTATCACTCGGGCTGGCGCCGACACGTGACAGACGAATGGACTTCCTAAAAATTAATTAAAAAAAATGCCACACTACTATTCAATTTTATAAAACTCATAGATGTTAAGTTATTCATTTTTTTACATAAAAATACTGGTTGTCCGCGCTTTTTGTTCTTAGTAAATAATATGTCATGGGATAAATATATAATCTCTATGCATAAAGCCTCGTCAAATATAGCTTCGACAAATGCAGACAAACTAACAAAGACACTTTGGTATATAAGATAGGAAATCCATCAGTATGAACATTATGTGAATAAAACAAAAAAAAATTAGAGGCAATCCAATTAACATAATACTCACCAGGTACATGATCACCATTGAAGCGAAGTTCAACTGTATGCGGTCGTGGGTCCCTTGGTGTGAAACTGATGGCGTAAGTGTGCGCGCCTTGGGCGGCTGCGGCTGTAGGTACTCTACCGCCGTTAACCGTCACTTCGAGGTTGCCTGGTCCAGCAGCCATTGTCTCCACTAATTAAAAAAGAAAAATGTATATGAAGATTTTGATTAATATATATTCAGCCCTTTGCTATATAACTTCCCACTGCTGGGCACGGGCCTCTCATCAATACAAGAGGGATCAGGTCCACCACGTGGATAAGTGCCGGTTCGTAAGCTTGCTAGGTTCTCTCAGTCATGCAAGTTTTCTCACGATGTTTTCCTTAATCGAAGGCAAGTAAGTGGTAATCATGTTGAAATGCGAGAGCTGGAATTTGAACCCGCTATACTAGGTTTCCCAAGCTAACGCTTACCACTGTGCTAACATTGCCTAATTAATTTAAAATGTCTTAATTGTTTTAATAAAAAAAAATTAGGAACTTAAATATTACCATACTGTTAAATTGAAGGTAGATTTTTTTCAATTTTGTCGATTGTATCTTACAAGGCCAATCATATAAATAAGCAAAATAAATATTTTATGACTATACATACCTAAAAACGTGACTGGTTTTCCCACCGTACCATGGGCGACATCTTTGACTCTTATAGCAGTTACATCGTATACCTGAATTGAGAATTTATTTAATATCACATATGATAATATTTAAGTTTTAAAATTTGCACTTTGATGTCGAATATTCTTTTGGGTTTCTAATAGTTTAATCATTAAAATATGACATTTTAATTTTTTAAATAATTTATTTAAACACATAATAATTCTTCGAAATTTCAAAATTACTCTTCGAAAAAGCATTTAAAATACATAATACTTTCTTAGATTTACGCGAATATTTGACATTTTAAATAAAACTATCTTTTCGGATTTTGTCGCGGATTTATTTGGATTTTTGTTTCCCGACGTTTCGAATGCTTTACAGCATCCATGGTCACGGGAGAGACTGAGGTGTTACATGTCTTGAATGTATAGTTGTTACAGACAGCCTACCCACAATTAACAAAATGAAAATTGCACCAATTACATTACAATATTTTTTAACTTTAAACATTTTTATAATTTTAATTATAATTGAATATGGAAAATTATTTATTTAATTTTGCTATTATTTTTTTATAATTATTACAATTTTAAAATATTAATTAGTAATCTATATTTAGTGTTGCCATTATTATATTTATAACCATAAAGAAAAATATAAAATGTAGTATTAATTATTAAAGCCATATAATTGTTCTATGTGTAATTTAAAAAGTTAAAATTAATTAAGGATAATAATTTTAATTTAGTTTGCTATTATTTAAAAAACAACTTACTAAGCAACACTATTAATATATACTTTTACAAATGAAAAATGAAAAATATTAGTCTGATAAGCTGTCATTTTGATCTACACAGTATGAACTTACTACATCTGCCTGTCTGTTATGTTTATATTTATTATTTGATTTTATTATATTAATAACAGGATCCCATGACGATGGTAGTACCCAGCCATCTTCCCTATTGAAATTAGGATGTTTTTTAATTTCTATGGCTTCTCGAATCATTCTAGGGCGATATCGGTTTTCTTTCGCCAGGATTTGAGGTCTATCGAAGCGAATATAATGGCTTGGGCGGTCCTGACTATGTTTGCAGACAGCAGATGTTGTATTGCGACGGTGCTTCACATCAGCTATGTGTTCTTTGACCCGGGTTCTAATGGATCTCTTTGTTTGTCCGATGTAAGAGAGCCCACAATCACAATCAAGCTTGTAAACTCCTGCATCTTGTAGAGGGATGTGGCACTTGACAGGTGGTAGAAACTGACTAATTTTCTTTGGCGGCTTGAAGTAAGTTTTAATTGAAGCTCGCTTTAGAATGTAGCCAATCTTGTCAGTGACGCCTCTCATGTAAGGTAGGACTGCAGGGACGCGCTCGACTGTGGCTGGTTTCACTCGGTCCCTGTGACGTAGGCGCGGCACTTGCAGCTTGTTGTCTCGCAGAACTTGCTTGACATGTTGCAGCTCTCCGGCCAGGTGTTGCTCGTCACAGATCCCGCGTGCCCTCTGAAACAAAGATTTTCCCACGGTAGCTAACTGTGAAGGGTGGTGGTGAGATTCACCATTCAAGTACCTATCAGTATGGGTCTTCTTTCGATACACAGTATGACTTAAGGAAACTGTGTATCGAAAGAAGACCCATACTGATAGGTACTTGAATGGTGAATCTCACCACCACCCTTCACAGTTAGCTACCGTGGGAAAATCTTTGTTTCAGAGGGCACGCGGGATCTGTGACGAGCAACACCTGGCCGGAGAGCTGCAACATGTCAAGCAAGTTCTGCGAGACAACAAGCTGCAAGTGCCGCGCCTACGTCACAGGGACCGAGTGAAACCAGCCACAGTCGAGCGCGTCCCTGCAGTCCTACCTTACATGAGAGGCGTCACTGACAAGATTGGCTACATTCTAAAGCGAGCTTCAATTAAAACTTACTTCAAGCCGCCAAAGAAAATTAGTCAGTTTCTACCACCTGTCAAGTGCCACATCCCTCTACAAGATGCAGGAGTTTACAAGCTTGATTGTGATTGTGGGCTCTCTTACATCGGACAAACAAAGAGATCCATTAGAACCCGGGTCAAAGAACACATAGCTGATGTGAAGCACCGTCGCAATACAACATCTGCTGTCTGCAAACATAGTCAGGACCGCCCAAGCCATTATATTCGCTTCGATAGACCTCAAATCCTGGCGAAAGAAAACCGATATCGCCCTAGAATGATTCGAGAAGCCATAGAAATTAAAAAACATCCTAATTTCAATAGGGAAGATGGCTGGGTACTACCATCGTCATGGGATCCTGTTATTAATATAATAAAATCAAATAATAAATATAAACATAACAGACAGGCAGATGTAGTAAGTTCATACTGTGTAGATCAAAATGACAGCTTATCAGACTAATATTTTTCATTTTTCATTTGTAAAAGTATATATTAATAGTGTTGCTTAGTAAGTTGTTTTTTAAATAATAGCAAACTAAATTAAAATTATTATCCTTAATTAATTTTAACTTTTTTAAATTACACATAGAACAATTATATGGCTTTAATAATTAATACTACATTTTATATTTTTCTTTATGGTTATAAATATAATAATGGCAACACTAAATATAGATTACTAATTAATATTTTAAAATTGTAATAATTATAAAAAAATAATAGCAAAATTAAATAAATAATTTTCCATATTCAATTATAATTAAAATTATAAAAATGTTTAAAGTTAAAAAATATTGTAATGTAATTGGTGCAATTTTCATTTTGTTAATTGTGGGTAGGCTGTCTGTAACAACTATACATTCAAGACATGTAACACCTCAGTCTCTCCCGTGACCATGGATGCTGTAAAGCATTCGAAACGTCGGGAAACAAAAATCCAAATAAATCCGCGACAAAATCCGAAAAGATAGTTTTATTTTATTTAAAACATTTAAAATACATTAATAATTATAAGCAATTTTGAATTAACCTTGCTGAATCAAAGTTTTTGAAACAATTAAAAAAAAACGTAATTCATTAATTATTAGTATGATAATTGAGCTACAATTGACCAAAACTGGTCGACGTAGCTAGGGCCGACCTCGGCACCACACCCAACATAATAATAATAATGATACTTTTAATAACTTACTTTTAAATGAAACGGGCTAGCGGGTATAGGCATGCTATCCACTAGCACATTCAAGCGATGCTCCCCCACAGCGCGGGGTACGAATTCTGCTCGGAACGTGCCCACGCCCGCCGCAGCCACCGCCGCCGGCACTGACGCACCGTTCGGACCTACGCCCCACTATAACTCAGCTCACCGCTCTACCCTCACTCCATATGCTCTTTTATATAGTTCTATGTTTCACATTCATATTTCTATCTTACATTTTATCTGACATTTCTATCTTATATGTACATATATCTAGGCCTTATATTGGTTCTATTGCCATATCTCAGCTTTTGTGTTTCTTTATTTTATGATATTTTTTTTATATTTGTTCTGTATTCTTTTCTTTTATGTTAGGAGTTAGGGCAAAGCGGATGAGCTTTATAACTAGTAAAAATGTATGTTACACCCTTAAATATGATATTTAATAAGAAATAAAGAAATTATATATACATATTAAATTAAATCTCTAATTTGGTATTGTGAGCAAACCAACTTAACCTAATTTAGTGACATATTTCAATTATTTTATTTTATTAATAATAAAACACTAACTATTTATATAAAGCATGGGTTAGTAGGTAAATGTGGTTAGTATGCTAAGCATGTATTTTGTTTAATCACTATTTTTATTCTCTACTGCTATTTCTATGTTTGTATCATTCAGTCATTCCTTCAACTACTTCCCAAAAGCAGGGAATCAATTTGTCTTAATATTATTCAAATTTTCAATTCATGTTTCAAAATGAATACTAATTCTGTCATTTATGCCAGCCTGTAAAAGAATCAAAATATTTATGAAAAAATGACTTCAATACTCCATTAGACAAATAGTCTATGTAGCAATGTGCCATAAGCCAAACAATAATAAATGGTAAAAGATATGAAAAATTATTTATTACTTTGATTTTAATTTACATCAAAAATATTAATCAAATGTTTTTATATCTCTTACCCTCAACATTTACTTCTATTTGGTCAAGCGTCGCTGATGGGTGGTGAAGAGTCAAAGATGCTGGCTGGTGAAGAGGAACTGGTCCAGGTAAAGTAACTTTGGCTCCTACTCCACTGCCTTCGGATACATCTATTATAAGTGGGCAGCCAGGTACTCGCATCTAAAATAAACTTTAGGTTTATTGCACAATGTTAAAACAATTTAAAAAAATATTTATACTGAGTACGAAAACTTGCAAATGCACCTTAATCGTTTTGTAGTAATAATAATCTTCTAGTCTTAATATAACAATAAATTAATAAAAGATAATTAATCAACTAAACAACTAACCTTATTAAAAGATACATTTACAATGTGTTCACAAGCTTCGGTTGGTGTGAATGAGACAGTAAATCTGGCATTTCCCTGTAACAAAGAATATATAAAAATGATACACAAATTGATAACTCATGTTTTTATATAAATATACAAAAGTTTCAGGGGGATTGGAATTTACAACGGAGATAGTTTATATCCAAAATTAAAAGTACGAACTTTATTCAAAGTATTTACTACATAAGCAGAGTTGTGGGCAAAACTAGATAATCTTTATTTTAAAACTTAATAATTACTATACATAGATCTTAAATACACTGGAGCTTAACATATTAGAGTAAATTAATTTTTGCTTTAATTATTTAAATTTTATTTATTATCAGGGTGCTAAATTACTTACTTGTGGATGAACTTGTGTTGGAATATTTTGACCTTTTGCAGCTACTGTAATTTCTAGATTGCCTTCTCCAGCTTGAGCCGCATCCACAGCAAGTTGCACTGGTAGTCCAATTCTAGCAGATGATCCACCAGTGACACTAACTAACTTGCTGTCATAGGCTTTGCAAACAAATGGTGTACCCTTTAAAAAAAATAAAATCGTATAGTATATTTAACAATATATTAATAATACTATTTCTTGATAAGAATAAATCGTCAATACCGGCACAGGCTGATTATTATAATGAGCTGTGAGTGTGTGAGGTCCAACGTGTTTAGGTGTAAAGCTCGCCACTAGCCCTGATATAGCCTCTCCAGTCAGACGTACTGGTACTTCGCCTCTCGGTCCTCGAACTGTAACAGTGAGCTCGCCACCACCGGAACCTTCTACTCGCACGGAACAGGACGCTAACTCACCAACTGGTATAAGCTCTGAGAATAAGTTAAACAAAGTAATAATGAATTAATTAAACATATTTTTTTAAAGATTATTGTAATTATTTTCTAATTTAGTACTGTTGATTTGTTTATTTACATAAACTCACAAAGTGTAAACATTACAGCTGTCTCTTTCAAAATCGATTGACAAATGACAGATTAAGTACACCTGATGTTTATGCATAATGTTCGGAAATTTTTAAGTAACATTTGTCTTAAACATGTTTTAAGTTATTTCATATTTGAATTTGGATGTTATTTAAACAAAAATCGATGTTTGTATGTAATATATTCCCTATGGACTCTAAAACAGCTAAAGCAATTTTGATGAAATTTTCAGACAATCTTTAGATTCGCCTTTATATTAGCCCAGAGGGTCGCATCCCGTGAAATTTGATATTGATCAAAAGTATGAACGCGGGCAAAGCCGCGGGTACTGCTACATATACTGTTATATTGTGAAAATGGCGACATCAGTTTCCTTATTAATTACTATATATAAAATATCTGCTAAATCTCTGTGTACTTAAGGCATCCCAATAAATGTCTAATGTCTAATGAACGAACCTTTATTTTTAACATTTAAATCCAGTTATTGAGATTCATGAAGTTTTAATTACCATTAATGTTTCTTTAGATTTACGCGAATATTTGACTTTTTAAATAAAACTATCTTTTTGAATTTTTTCGCGGATTTATTTTGATTTTTGGTTTCCGACCTTTGGGAGAGTCTCTTCCGTGACCATGATTGCTGTAAAGCATTCGAACATCGGGAACCAATAATCAAAATAGATCCGCGAAAAAATCTAAAAAGATAATTTTATTTAAAATGTTTATTATTCGCGTAAATCTACTTTTTATCTATCTAATTTTATTACACTTACCAACTTGCGAAGTGTCTATTGTGACTCTTTGTGCTGGTGCTACGTGAAAAACGAAGGGCGAGGAAGGCACTGGTTCTCCATTGAATTTTATGTCAACTCTATGAGGTGTAGGTGTTTCTGGTCTCCAGAAAACTAGACAGCGACCTCCCCCTACAACCTAAAAATATAAAACTATTTTAGTCGTAGTCTGCGGGTGATACTATGTATCACGTACCTATTTTATTTAGTTATAACAAGTGTTATTAATAATAAAATTATTAGTTTATAAGATAATATTAATTATATGAACGATCATGGGGACTTTGGTAAGAATCATGACCCCTCGTTCAACAGCGATTACTCATGTCAAATAAAAGCTATTATTCAAAAGCTAAATACTCATGTACAACGATACGTCGTTTTTTATTAGTTGGATCAAAATGAAAACTTATAAATCGCTATGTCCGTATGTACATATAAGAACCATTTCACTCTAAACTTTTGGCACTATAATACTAAAAATGTCTAAAAATAATGTCTAAAATTGCTAAGGTCTTACAAAGTTTCGCATTTAAAACAGTCATGTAAAAATCCTTTTTTTTCCAGCTAAGCATTATTTGGATGAAAGTATAATTTTAGTGTAGACATCTCGATTTCCATGACTATGAACTGCCATATCTAATCTATACTTATAATAAATCTGTAGAGAGGTCAATTCTGTACATGAAATATATTTCCAAAATAACTATCAGGGGGTGATTAGGGATCGATACTGATGCCAAAAATGCAATCAGTAAAAATTTTGTCTGTCTGTCTGTATAACCGTTATAGAAACAAAAACTACTGGACGGATTTTAACGAAACTTGGTACAATTATTTTTCATACTCCTGAGCTGGTTAAAGTATACTTTTCATCACGCTACAATCAATAGGAGCAGAGCAGTGAAGGGAAATGTTGGGAAAACGGGAGAAGTTACTCCATTTTTTAAGCTTCCGTCGCGTGTGCAACCTTAATGGTTAAAGCTACACAGAAATCATGTATGACGGAAATGTTCTCCTTAAAATTATATAAAAAATATCCCACGACAGCATATGTCTATCTTTTATGGTTGACTCACGATAACACGTGTAACTCCCGATAGCTTAGCAGTTCGAAGCTTTCTGATTTATATTTGTCTACTCTTACGTTTATAACACTCAGTCATCCCTAATTAAAAAAGTTAACATTATAAACTATTCCATAAAAAAGAATCACAGAAATCGGTATAGAAAAACCAAAGTTATACATGAAATACGCTAATAATAAGCCATCGCGAGTCAGGGGGATGTAAGAAGACAAATAGAACAAATCCAGATTTTTTTCAATTTTTTTGTTTCTCTGTCTGTTTGTCTGTTTGTAGGGGCTAATCTCCGAATCTATTGGACTTAAATGAAATTTTGCATGGTGGTACCTTATATCCCCGGACAACGTCTTAGATATTTTTTATCCCGGAAAATTAAATGGTTCCCGTGGGATAGATAAAAAACTATTATAACTTATACAACTTATGCACCTAATTTAGTAAAATTTAACATTCTGATACCTTATATTGCCGGTCAAACACCAGGTTACTTTTCATCCGGGAAAAATGAACGGTTCCCGTGGGAACTAATAGATTTCTATTAGTGTTTTTCTAGCTAGTGTTTTGCTAGTGTATAATATTATAAGGTATGTTTTATCAAAGTTTTTAAGATATAGGATGTTCTCGGTAAAATGCTTTTTATTTAGAAACTACAAAATGACTTGAGAAACTAAGATTGCAATCTAGCTGGTATTAATCCCAAGTATCTTTAAAAAATGTTGTGAAATACAAGTTTAAGTTCGCTACTGGTAAAATGAATATTATTATATTGCATGCGTAACTCGGGAATTGTACGTGTAAACAGATTTTGGCAATGGATCCGAATTTAGATAACTTATAGTAAATTTCGTAGACGAAAACTCTTCGAATTTACGTAATACAGAAGATACATAAGTCTGTCTTACCACTGATGAGTATTCAGAGTTCAAAATTACACATTTCTATATAGGCTAATCTAGTCTAATATCTATCAGGCTTTTCAATTATTACCAGATGTTACTGTTAACAGCAACCATCAGGAAATATCCTTTCAACTAAGATTATTAATTTTTAATTAAAGACTAAGAACTTGCTATTAATTTTAGTCTTAGAGTCAATAGCTTATTAATAATTCCAGTCTAGGCACTGTCAACAGCAGTACCTTGCAGATTTACTTAAGTAAAGTTTGTTTAGGTTTACATTGTACTTACTTGTACATGATTGGGGACTTCGCCCTCATTGATTGAAATTTCTAATTGCCCTTCACCCGCAGCACTGGCGTCAACTGTAAATATGAGCGGTATAAAAGTTATTAGTAAATTTTAAATTTCCACATACCTTTTTATAATTTTCTCTCTTGTATTATTATTTTTGTCTAAAGTTCCTGCGTGAACTATAATTTTTAAAATGATGCAACCAACTAATATTATACTCTTAATATTTTCCAATATTATTTAAGACCATTAAATACGATGGGGACTGAATTAGGATAGAGGTAGCAATTTCGTCAAAAATAGTTTTCTTATTGAAAAAAAAAATGTTTTTTTTACATACTTATAACAATACATACGAAAGTGTGTTTATTGTTTTCTTTCAGCAATGGAGCAACGGTTATAGGTATGAGTTTTCCCATATTTATTAATGGCTATTTTTTATTCATTTATAATTATGGTACCAATTTAACGTACCAATTCGTGTTTTGCAAAATGTTATTTATGTTACTAGTTTACTATGAAAAACAATAACTTGATATCGGAAATATCTCAAACACAGAATGTGTTAAAATTTTATTGCTATTACGCATCTAATCAATTTGTAAATTGAAAAGTTATGAAACGAAAATATACTTATATAGCACCGACATTATTATTTATCTATTTTGCCATAATACATACCTATAGAAAAATATTATTAAGAATACATATAATAAAATTGTAACTAAGCCGAATCTGTACATTAAATATTTTTTGGAAAATCTTATTGTAATAAACATTATTATCGATACAGAGGCCGAATCTATAGTTTTTAGATTTTTTGTCTGTCTGTCTGTCTATTACCGCATCACAGAAAAACCACTGGAGAGATTTTAATGAAATTTGGTATGGTGATAGCTGGTTATCCGGGTCAACATATAGGATACTTTTTCTTTTCTAAAAAGTTTCTGAGAAAAAAATACAAAATTTGCAATGTAAGAGTATACTAATATGTAAAACCTAAGAATTTGAAAGAAATTTTTGGTCCTCTGAACGCGGGCGGAGCAGCGGGCAAGGCTAGTTAAGAAATAAAATTATAATTAATGCAATAATAGAATAATGTTTCATCTATTAATCATTTAGGTACTGTACTACAGATGTTTGTTGAACTCACAAGTCACCACTCTACTGACTTAAAAGCTCGAGAGTTGAGAGGTATGTAGTTTAAATTGACGATTCTAGTTCTAACCGCTACAATTAGGTTGCGTTTATCGGAACATGCGTCCAATAATTGTGTTTACCTCTGAACTGGCACTGTTGTCCAACCAAGGCATTTCCCACATCCGTTACTTTGATAAGGCTTGCATCGTACACTTTGGCAACTAATGGCCCCGCAGCTAGTTTGTCTTCGCCGATGGATACCTATTAACAAGTTAAAAGTTTACTTAAATTTGCAGAACATGGCTATATAGTAAAAGTAGATTATAGAGTTATGAACTGTTAGTATAATCTAAATACATTTATACTATCACAACATAATTTAAAAACAAGGTCCCGCGCTGAGTTTATAGTTTTTGGGCTAATCTCAGACCTACGTTACGGATTTTTTTACGGTTATCAAAAATTTAAAAAAAGGATTATCTAGCAAGACAATTGTTTAAAAATATTTTGCGAAAATTATCTACCGGTATGAACTTACTTATAAGACTTAAGTAATACATATTATAAAAAAAACATTAAGAGTATGTAATTAAGGTTTTTTTTGGATATCATTATTTCCACTTTCCATGGTAAAAGCTTGCTTGAGTAATATTTAAGACTAAGAAATAGCAGTACACAAATGTCATAAAGTGTTACGCGTAAAGAATGCAGTGTCCGGTAGTAGCGCTCTCATAGTGCTCTGCCGTACATTAACAAAAGAAAGTGGAGACAGAAGTAAAACATTTTATACGTGCATTCGTAAGCCAAATTACTTCCTAAGATTTGATGAAAGTTCTAGTACTATGACATCTATTTACCTAAAATAAATAGTAATAAAATTTCATAGTAAAAATATTATTAAAGAATCATAATAATTACGAAATACTTTGGTTATTATTGAATTTAGCATGTTTTAATAAATAGAAAATATGTTTACAGACGGCAAAACAACATATTTATATATAATGAATCGGTTTTCATATCTTCTTATATGTATTATATCTTATCTTATACCTACTACGAACTATATTATAAAGCTAAAAATAAACTGTGAGGAGAAGGGAGTTAAACGCAGCTCAGGAGGATATATGAGATAGCGTCTTTATTGTAGCAATATTCACACAGAGTGATGCATGATCCTTGACCCTGATACTTTACTAGGTAGGACACGTGTAAATATTATAAATTTATTCCACACTAGTGACATACCCTTGCTTCGGTCAGGTGCGTGCGCGTAAAAGGTATGGTAAACGTTGATCTGAGTAATAAGTTATCTCTACACAAAATTTAGTTAAAATCGGGTCATTACCTTTTGCGTTAAATGTACAAAGTTTAGCAGACAAAAATTTCAATAACAATTGTTTTGAGGTACTTATTATAGTGATTGTTTTTAAAAATATTGCATATACAGACATCGTTTTGTGTTACTCTTTTGTTATACGTATAAATATCTTAAAAGTTTTTACCAATAACCTAATTTTTTCCGCGTCCTAATCTTCGTCTTTTGATACTTGTATTAAAAATGTATCATACTTAACAATTATAATCAGTTTCGAGTTATATATTAGTAGAAAAACTCCTATTAGGTATACTTGACTATAACTTAATGTTAAAATAGAGACGAATTGTACTTCCCACTAATTAATCTGTTTGTATTGTCTTATTTGAAACACTTACTTTCAAGTTCAAATACTGAATAAATAATTCATTCTCAAATTAATTTAAGTTTAATACCCAGAATAGCCGGAGGTTTTGTCACGAGTTTGGGATATCGTAATCCTAAATCTTGATAAATAGTAAACTCTGCCCTACATTGTAATTTACTTTGTAAGACAGCAACCTAGGTAAAGTCCTAGAGGTTTATCTCAAATACATAGGTTAGCTTGTTATGTCATCTCTACATAATGCAACTTTCCGGCTACGTCTGTCTGTGAGACATAAATAGCTTAACCTAATAACACAAATGTTGAAAAATTTATATTTGTGCCCGTCTAAGTTACATAAATAGTATCTGGGTTGCACTAGCCTTGTATACAGATAAATTCAATATGTGAACTTTAAAGTAACCAAAAGAATAGAAACACATTTCTAAAAGATTTTTATAAGATACTAGCGACTCACCCTCGCTTCGCTCGAGTTCATCCCTAGGTTCGTTTTAACGGTCAGTATGAAATAGACTATTTATTATGTATACAATATACATAGGTACAAAGTAAACAGTTTAGAACTTTTAGATTTTCCTCTATTTTTATACTTAAACCAACCTTGACACACCCCCTAACAAAAAAAAAAGAATTATTCAAATTGGTCCAGCCGTTTTTGAGTTTTAGCGAGACTAACGAACGGCAATTCATTTTTATATAAATAGATAAATATCACTTTGATTTTATAAGACTAAAAGAATATGGACAATCCATTCTTTCGAGATCTAGTAATCCTTATGATTTTTTCCTTTATCGTAAGCTTTAGCGTAGTTGTAAGTGGTGATAATGTAACCTACCTATGTATGTACTGTTTAGCTAATTATTGGGACTGTATATTAAGCGGCGGGACTCAACGCCAATCTTCATTAGTCAAACATTGCCTACTCTGTTGCCTACTGTATTATTACACATATTTATACAAACATTTAGTTTTTGTTTCTATATTCATTTTCTACGCATTTCTATCTAGTAGTTACTATGTATTAATACATAGAAAATGAATAAAGAAACAATATCAAAGTTTCATCGTAAGCCGATGAATAGTAAACATAATATATTCATCGGATTACGATAAAACTGATAAGTTTTCCTGCTCGTGTCTAGGAAGCTTTTTGATATAATATTGAATAATTTGAGACTTATTAAGAAAAACCTAAGGCATGTGTTAATAGTTATATAATATATGTAATATTATACTTACATCAATTAAATGTGTGCCAACTTCATCTGGCGTGAATTCGATACGGTACACGCCGGGTCGTTCTACTACGTCCAACACGCGAGCAGTCACCGGTCGGCGAGAGGGAGCTGTCACTGTGACTCCGACCTGGCCGAAATAAGTCATATTACTTTATTAAGAAATAAATAAAACTTAATATAAAAGCTTTTACCTGTTCCCAATTCAATTTTCTTTTTATAAAAACTTAAAAAATCTAATAGAAGTATAAGAAAAAAATGTAATAGGTAGAACATTATAATAAAACAAGAATAAATTCGAAACTATTAGTACCTACATAGCTGGAAAAATGAGTTTTCAGAAATTATATTTTTCATTTCATCAAACGAGAAAGCTCTTTCTCCTAAATTACTTTTAAATAAAAACGCTTTGCCTTGCAGTTTTTGAACGAATATTTAATTTTTCAATATAGTCGGACCGAGATTCGATTTCAAATTGTTCGAGCTTTGTGAATAAATTTATGGTTTAACTTTTTATTAAAAGTTAGCTTTTGTCTATGACTTTGGTCGCGCATAATTTAACTTAAAAGTTTATCCATGCGACACTAATAATACGCATAACTGTAGTTTATGTAGAGAAATAGGGTCAAACTTGTGCCTAAATAGCATATTTTTCTAGCATGTTTAGGTTAAAGTATAAGCTGGAAAAGTATTTATAATTTTTTTGCGTCATTCAAAGTTTCGTTTATCTTAATAATAATACCACTTTTATGGTCAAATAATAATTGTAATTGCTTTTATATTATATCTAATTAGTTATTTCTAGCGAATATACGTAGAAGTTTTTTGGTTATTAATTTAACTTATAATCTATAACTTCATTAAATTAAAGAGTAAGGTCTTTTTAGTCAGCTAACGCATTATGTCCTCTGACATGGTGTTAGAGAGAGAGAGCTTAACACAAACCTCATGTTACTGTACCCATATCTAAGCAGCGCATTGAAAAAATACTTATGAATATTTTTAATAAATATAATAAAAAAATATCCTTTATATATTCCAACAGGTAGACAGATTTTTTAACTGATTATTTTATCTTAAACCCTTCGAAAAATTACTATTTAATTATGAGTCTCCATAACCGAAACCCACGTAATGACATGTAAAAGTATAAGCTTGACGGATTCTATGTACCTACTACTTCTAATAAATCTAAAATTGTCGCCTCCCTCGCAAAATGTAAACGCTTTTATGCCGAGTGAAGATAAATCATTGCTCTCACTTTTTATGATACATCAGAATATATATTTTGTATAGCCAATAGTGGCGAAGGGTGAAATTTTAGCAGAGGTAAGCCGTTCCAAAAATATACAATTAATGCAGAAGTATATATATAAGACGGAGGAGGATTTAGTTACCTTTTTCTGTTATGAAACCTTATCATTGTTTAAAGTCACTATGTTCTTTAAATTACTTTTTATTGCTTTTGAATTTAGAGCAGAGATTTAGTCTCGAGCGGGGTCGAGACGCCATCACGACATTCTTTGGAGATACGTGGCTTAGTAACGTTGGTGGATAATAGAGAGTTATGTTTTGATTATGTAGTTGGAAGTCGATGATCGGTGACTGTGAACCCGCTAGCTCTAAATCATTAGAATTACCGTTTCAAGTTTATAACATTGTGACTTCCCTGATTAAATTGTGTATTGAGCACTGAATACTTTATTATTTTAGCCCACAAGATGAGTAACCACCAAAGATGATGTTCGTTATATGGATAACGCGTCATATATATATATATATATATATATATATATATATATATATATATATTACCAAAAGAACATTTATACATTTAAAAAATTAAATGTATGTAAAATTATAGCAAAATACATGTAAGGTACCTATCTTGTATGGACCCTTCGCCACTGATGCCTAGTAGTCGGAGTCGCACGTCCACGTGAGCTGTTCTACATGCATGGATTTCAGTCAGTGATATGTCTACCTACTTTTTATTCTCCTTACAAAACGGTCAGTAAACAAATGCTTCGGGCCAACTTATTAATTATACACTGTTATTGTACTCAAAATTACGTATGGTGTTTAGAGAGTGAGACGAAGCGACCATGTGGTAGACATATTTTATTACATACATATTATGCGACCGATAGCGAATGGCATAATAATAATGTAAAATATTATAATGTAAAATATAATAATGCAAACAAAATAATTTTTAATTTTGATTGAAAGAGTTATAAGTATTAATGAAATAGTTATAATACCTACGAATATCGACGAGAAAGAAAAATGGGTTATGAAAGAAAATGGTGTGAATGAAAAATCTTTAAATGGATATGCCTCGCGTATATTTTTAAAATTTCATATTACTTTTCAGCCTTGCGTTTGGGACTTTTTGGTTATTTCCGATGGCCGCCATACTAAATGGATATGAGAGTAATATTATTATTACAAAAAAATATTGTGACGATTATAATTTATTATAATATTATTACTAGAAACTATCACTTCGCTCGGACACGTGCTTCTTTAGGTGCCTAACACTAGTGTTGCCCATCGATAGTCGACTATCGATAATAATTAGTCGATAGTGACCGATAGTTATAATATCGGTAGTTCTATCAATATTATCGATACAATCGATAGTATCGATACTATCGATAGATCGAAATGTGATAATACTATTGACAGAACACAATACTATCTATACTGTCGATAGTATTGGCGCTCACAAATCATAAACTGTTGATAGTATCGATACTATCGATACTTTTGAAGTTTCGAAATAAAATAATATCGATGGTATCGATGCTATCGAAACTAGTAGGAAATTTATCAACAATATCGCTTGAATGGTCGCGGATACGCCGGCATGTCAGTTAACAATTGATTTCCCGGAAACTAACTACGGAGGCGGTATTGTACACAGTTCGCAGGTGGCACAAATCGATTTTTTATACTGTCTTTCGTCTTATTACATTGCTTTTAAAACTTACCTAATACTATCGAAAAATTAAGAACTATTGATGGTCCAAAATTCAAATTTATAATTCATTAGCAGCAATACTATCGATAGTATCGATATCATTGCCCTCCGTTAATAGTATTGTCGCATTTCGAGCTATCGATACTATCGATATTATCGATATAGCTATCGATAGTAGGGCTGTTTTAGATGAAAACTAAATTTAGCAACACTACCTAACAGTAGCCTATGTGCTACTCCAAAACATAGCTTACCTGTGTACTCATCCAAATCCGTCCAGGCATTTCGGCATGAAAAAGTAACACGCACATATTGACATACAAACCGTCACATGTTACTTAAATGGCCGATAGAAACACATTTAGCTCCCTACCTCGTTTTTACTGAACGTGGGTGCGCCAGGCGAAGTAGATATCTCGAAGACGGCCGGCACCCGCGCGGGGATCAGCCTCGTCGGCTCTCCGCCGCCGCCACCCGCCGGCCCTGCCATCACTTCAACCTTCCACGGGGACCCTAAGAAATAAAAAATACGTTTCATATTATATTATTTATACATTATATATATTTTTCTTCTTCTTGAACTTCTTGTTTGAAAGTATTTATTTGATTCTCACTTTAAAAGTCTATAGTTGTTCTATGGTTTGTTAGTTTTATTTGAATTGTTATTTATTATATGTATAGATGTTTACTCGTGAACCTGGTTGATAGACGTTGTACTGTGCTCGTTTGGTCGGAAAATTAAAAAAAAATTGAATCTAATAACAGGGTGAACTATGGAGTCAAACTAAGCTAAGAACTATCAATAAGTTCACAAAAAATTATCACAGTCGGTCTAGCTATATAAGAGGAAAAGAAGACGCACGCACATCGAAATTTTAAATATAAAATTTTTCCCAAGCAAACAGTGTGTCGAAAAAAAAACAAGCGAGATTAAACATGATAATGATTTCCAAAGAATTATTTAAACGTAAATCATAGCAGTTGACTTAATCGGTTTGGAGTGTTTGAGAAAATGGGCTCTAGTATAATTGAAGAGAAACAATCGCTAAGTAGACAACAAAACAAAATGAGGGGCGATCAATCATTTTGTCAAATTGTTTTTAGTTCGACGGTCGAGCAGTGAGAAAATGGTTTTATGCAAATAAAAGGATATATACAAATTACTTCGTTTGGGAGCGTTTTGAATATTCCACTTAAAATAACCTTTAGTTATTTCTTACATGCTCTATAAAAGTTAATTAACGTAAGATATTTTTTAAGTTTTGTTTAAACAACTATTATGTATGATTTGCCTATGTTAGCAGTTGCAAGCTATTATTTTAAATTGTAAATTAAGAAATTCTATTACAATCTTTTTGTTGATTCATGTTATATCTAAGATACATTAACTATGTAATATAACAGATCAGCCTGTATTATAGTGTAAACCACATCAAAATGTTTGTTAAACGAAAATAATTAAAACGCAAATTACATTTTCTCAGTTTTACATTTTTCCTCTCTACTTTATTCATTGAAAATGCAGATGAAAACTCGAACTAATTAATCACGAACAACATGAAGTCTTAATTTACATTAACATGTAATAAACGGTTCAGTTTTCGTTTAAGTCGCAGTTGTTATCGATTAAATATGGCTCCTTAAAGAATAATAGCCCCACTTCAATAAAACGTTGGTTTTAAATATGGGAGCTTTTTTCTTATGCGTACGGGATATCTTCGCCAGTCGTAAACCTATTCATATTTTTTGAAGTTATACTTCTTTTGGCACGTTTGAAAAAAATTATGAGAGTAAAATTTTTACGACCCCCGCGCACACCGACAGCCAAAAAGCGACATGATGAAGTTAGCTGCATTCCTTTTATAAATAGAGAGTTGTGACACACGGGAGTTGTGAAATATTTAGCTATTTTTATTTTGTTACGCCAAAGAAGTACAACTTCTTACGTGCGTACATAAGTACACACACACGTTTTTATTTTTATTTTAAAGAGCTTTTTTATGAGAGTTACCATATGCATTATTAGAAAAATGCCACTTATAAGATATTATAATTACATTTATAGCAAATGACCTATTATTGTGTATGTATTCAGCCCTTTTTAACGTCCCACTGCTGGGCACGGGCCTCCCTTCAGTACGAGGGGGATCAGGCCATAGTCCACCACGCTGGCCAAGTGCGGGTTGGCGGACTTCACAAGTCTTTCGAAAACTTGCTAAGTTCTCTAAGACATGCAGGTTTCCTCACGATGTTTTCCTTCACCGTTAAGACAAGTGGTAATCATGTTGGAAATGATTCGCACATGAAAATATCAGAGGTGCGAGACCCAGGATTTGAACTCGCTTCACTCGGTTTCCCAAGCGAGCGCGTTACCACTGGGCTACCACTGCCTACTGTCTATTAAACTTATTTATTATTGTGTATATTAAACAATTATATACACAATAATAGTTCAAGATATTATTATAGAACAAAAGTGAACGTGTTATATGATAAGAACGTGAAAATATATTGTTATAGTATGGGAGGGCGCAAGGTATCCCCCGTTATGTCAATCTGCCGCGCTTGAGCAAATCCCAAAACCCCCTCTTGGGCTACTATTATATGTAATAACAAGTTTCAGTCAATGAAAAAAGTTCTAGAAATCAATTTTGGGCGATGTCGATATGCATTAGTATGGAAATATTCACAGTGTTATTCTTTCATATTCATAGCATGGAATTTCATCAGGGATAAAGTTAAATTAGTTCAAAAAAAGAACAATAGATGGCGTATTGCATGAATTTTTGCATGCATTTGATAATGATGTTTATTTAAAATTTATTTAAGACAAAAATAGTAGTAAGTATTAAAATATATTCCAATTAAAAATCTCTACATAGAGTAATGAAAGTAAAGTTTTCATTATTTCTTAAATGAAATTTTCATAATTTTACAGTTTTACTAATGATTAAAAACTTTAGTAGACACTCAGGGATGACGCTGTTTACATTTGATGTGCTGTGTATTCTGGTAACAAATAGCTACAGTTACCTACCATTTGTTTTGGATTTGCATTTTGCAATATTTTATATATTTAAGTGCATAATAAAAATATGTATGTATTCAGCCTTTATTAACGTCCCATTCGTGGGCTTCCTTTCAATACAAGGGGGATCAGGCCATAGTCCACCACGCTGGCCAAGTGCGGGTTGGCGTTGGTTGTATTCATATTGTCTTTCGAAAACTTGTTAGGTTCTCTCAGACATACAGTTTTCCTCGCGATGATTCCTTCAACGTAAGACAAGTGGTAATCATGTTTAAAAATTGTTCGTACATGAAATAACAGAGGTGCGAGATCCGAGACTTGAACCCGCTTCGCTCGATTTCAAAAGCGAGCGCTTTATTGGGGTACCACTATAATTGCCATTTAAGTGCATACATTTTTATTAAATAAAATAAATCAGCTTGAAAATAACCCAATTAACGGTAAAGTAGTATGGAATACCTCCAAGTTTCAAATAGGTATCATAAAAAATCGTACCGCTGAGGTATACTATAGAGTCACTGCAGTTACGTTTTTGAACAAAAAGCTGAAAGTACCTATATTATACTACTAGGAACTCACCCTCGCTTCGCTCGGGTTCGTCCCTACTTACGTTTTAACGTTTAGTATAGATTTCTCAGAAATGAGATATTTTCCTGCAGTAAAAAGTATCCTATATATGGACTCGCATAACCAGCTATCATCATACCAAATTTAATCAAAATCCTTCCAGTGAGTTTTCCATGATGCGGTAAAAGCCAGACAAACAGACAAAAATTCTAAAAACTGTAGATTCGCCTCTGTATCGATAATAATGTCTATTTCAATAAGATATCCCAAAAAATATTTAATGTACAGATTCGACTTAATTACAATTTTATTATATGTATAGAAGATTATCACAATTGTTTGCTTTTGTATACCTGTATCAATAAAAGAGTAGTAGTAAAGATGAGAGCTTTATTTATGCGTACATGTATATACAAATATAAATACACGTGTATGTATATACGTATGTAAAATTGTGTATTCTAAATAACTTTTCCAAATACTTTTATTAAGATTGATTGATTTCATGAAAGTCATGGAAAGTAATAATCAATAATTTTAATGTTTGAATGTGCTATCGTTTTTGTTTTTAATTATTCAATAGAAAACGTGAATATGTAATATTATTAATTCACACCTAAATTAAGGTCCAACATGTTATTACAAAATAATATATTATGCGTGTTTATATAATATTTTATGCAGAAATGTCATTAACATGCACTTTCCTTTTCGCTCTGACACAGAAATGGTTTCTCTACAAATTGTTAGTCAGTACTACGACTTCTGCTTTCCCGTAATTAAACAAAAAAAAATTATAAAAAGGTGTCAAAATGTCATCATGCTTATAATTAATTGGCCCAGATGCTGCATATTATTTTCAAGTAATATTACATAATATTACAAAGTACACGTCAACACGAGTAGTGTATTACTTACCCTGCACTCTCCTTATCATGAACTAAGTCACCTGTTATCGTCGCAAGCACCTGAGGTTAATCTTTAATATCCTAGGAGATTAATCTAACACTACATGTTGCTCTATATAGTCTTTCATGGATAATAGAGGTTAGATAAAGGTTGCTTTCTTGTTATGATCTATGATCGTTGCTAAATATAACTTGTTATTAGTCTATACAGATAATACTTTCTTAGATTTACGCGAATATTTGACATTTTAAATAAAACTATCTTTTCGGATTTTTTCGCGGATTAATTTGGATTTTTGGTTCCCGACATTTCGAATGCTTTACAGCATTCATGGTCACGGGAGAGACTGAGATGTTGGATGTCTCGAAGGTATAGTTGTTACAGACAGCCTACCCACAAATAACAAAATGAAAATTGCACCAATTACCTTACAATATTTTTTAACTTTCAACATTTTTATAATTTTAATTAGTTTTATAATTGAATATGGAATATTATTTATTTAATTTTTGCTGTTATTATTATATATATAGATAAATAAAATTTTAATGTCTGTTTGTAATGTCAAAATAACACCTTTTCAATAATTACATATGAAAGTATTGGTAGGTATTTATAATAAAAACATTTTTTTTAATATTTTGTCTGTCTATCGGTCTGTTTGTTCCGGCTAATTTCCAAAACGGCTGGGCTGATTTTGATGAGATTTTCACTGGCAGATAGCCGATGTTATAAGGAGTAACCTAAGCTAATTTTATTTAGGAAAAAGGAAAGGGGTTTGCGCAAAAAAATAAAATCCATGAAATTGCGAACAAAATCCGCGTTAGGTACGCGGATTTTGTTTGTTAGGGACGCACCCGAGCGAAGCGAGGGTAAGTCACTAGTAAATATCACAATATAGACTATTTTAAATTTTATTGAATCGTATTAAAATAAACTAACGATCCTGTCTTTGTTAGGTGCTACAAAGTAATGTGGTATACATATATTTACACAAATAAATCTTATA